TACTTGCCTATGATAAACCGGGAATTGACGCAATCTCGAGTGTCACAGCGTATGTAAGTCGTCTCTAGGGTATGTGACGATGAAGCCTCGCTGGGCAGTAGATGATCGACGTGCTAAGAGTAGATCTTCTAGCGGCATCGGCTGCTGTGAATGCCCTGCTTACAGGGACGAATGTCCACCGCGATGCCCCATACACTGATTCATACACTGATTGTTACCTCGTGATGACTTTCGTCGCCATGAGGGGCTTCGACAACCTGGACGATGGGGGCCTTTCTCAGGTCTATGCTCACGGATGTTGCGGTAGATGAGCATCTCAGCCACCTGCCTAGCCGGGCCATTGTAGCCATAACGAGAGGCTACACTTGGCCAGACTCGCCAAGTACCCGTACCTCCATTCTGCAGATTGCTTGTACCTGAACCAGCGAGGTTCCATAACGTAACAAGCTGACTTTGCTCATCGTGAGAGGCTCAGGGAGGCCCTGCTGAAAGGCCACTCCGACGACGGCGCCCTGGAGTCTCCTTGTGGAGGCTATCATCCGAGCCAATATCCTCGCCAGGCTTGGCCATGAAGTGGAGGCCAGCCGCACCATGTTGCCATGCGTATTCCATGGATATGCCTTCCGATTGCTTGATTGCTCGATTGCTCACATGAAGACACTCGGCCGAAATTTTAGACATCTTTCGACAGAGTCCGGCATACTCGGGCTCGACGCGGACATGAATGCTACACCGAATCGCTATTGCCTGGATCCGATTGACAGCGTCAGGGATTCCATGACCAGATCGAAGCTTGTGATGAACGTCAATCAAGCACATTGCCGCAGCTGCAAATATGACTGGAAGAGCTAATCAGTTAGGGTGAAGTCCGGCGTGGCTGCGTCATCTCTAACGTCGCCCATCATGATCAATTGCAATTATGTGTACAAGGCACTAAACTGGTCTAGGTGAAGTACTTCATCAAATTTGGAACTGAGTCGAGACTTTCGCGAGCTAAGCTCCGAACAAGTTGGTAAGACAGGAAACAATGACAGACTAGTCGTGTGCAAGCCTCTGAAAGAAGTCGCTAGCCGTTTCGGACGGGTCAGTCTCAGGTCAAACACCTATGGGAAACATCTTGGTGGCGGTTTACTTTCCGGTGCCAGATCTGAAGAGCTCAGCTCACTTCCACATTGAGACTAAGGCCAGCGAACTGTGACGCTTGTGCTGTGACGCTTGGCGAACTCCTGAGGGGCCGATTCTGGAGGCAGATTGGTCGAGGGACAACCGCATGAGAAGCTTGTTGGTCATTACAAAAGTTGTTTGACGGGTCTGTCATCGAGTTTAAGCCGATGATTTCTCGGGCGAGGCTGACACTGCCTAATGCAACAACTCGGGTATGAGATGCACCGTGAGACAGCTTCATCCCAAGTTGCAGAAGCGGGGATTTGCTGTGTAGGTTTCCGATCGCCCGAGCCCACCGAAGACTAGACCAAATGACTGATGTTCTAAGATTCGAAGAACACACCCAAAAGACTGACATGGATCCGAGGAGTAGTGCGATATCCAGCACTGGACAAAGCTGTTGTACCGTGGGCACCCGGCTGATTCGGCCGGCGGATCCAGCCAAGACCGACCTCACGCCGTGTTGCCGAACCGGAGCATGCCGATCGTCATCAGAGGAAAGTCCGGTGACCACTATCAGAGTGCCGAACCCGCCTAATGGGTCAACGCAGGCTATGTGAATGCCGAATAATGTAGCTGGGGGCGGGGACCCTTTCTTGGTGTTGTGGAAAAGAGCATGCAGAAGCAAATTGATGAAGATCTTGACTCTGTCTTTGCTTGTCGATTCTCCCTGGCAGGAAACCCCCAATTTGGCAAGACAGCCGCATGAGTGTCTCGTCTGTGAATGGATCTGCATGCTACATCGTGCGATGGCCATGAGCAGAGACCTGTTGGTCTCGCACGTCAATACGTGTAAGTCGGCCACCATCTCTCGAAAGAAACGACGGGGTCCACCATGTCGTTCTGAGATTTTGCTTTTCAAGCGTTTCTAGATGGCTCTGGTCCAGACTTGTGGACGGGAAGCAAATTCCGTGGGCCAGGCCCTGCGGCACCCGTGATGTGTGTTGAGGCTTCAATGGCGATGTTTCTCGTCTTACCCTAGCCAATCGTGCCAGGTGAGACCACTTAATCGAAGTCCACTCCTTGCAGGAAGAAGCAAGATCATGACGGCGACACTCCCATGATGCATTGCAGATGCAAAGGAAACAGATCGTCCTGCAGGATCTTGCAGAAAAAGTGAACCTCCCTTTCAAGGTCGTCTCACGCCCCGCGTGCCTTTCGGTCGAGTGCAATGTTGTGTGGGTATGTTTGACTTGGGTTGCAGGGTGAACATATTGGACTCTGCGACAAGCCATTTGAGATGTGACTAAAAGGGTAGAGAGTTGTTGTCTCTCAAATCTCATTTGTCGGGTGCACTTCATTCTCTTGATGAGTGAGGATAGAGAATTGATATCTGACCAAATATCTGGAACGCATTAGCCTGTTCGCTTCCGGACATCCTTGCCACTAGATAGTCAGAAAAAGCAAAACCATGAGCTGGGGATCTGTCGATTGGCTGCCCAGTATGAAGTACGCGAGGTGTCTGTCGGATGTTGATTTCGATCGGTTCAGTACCTTGGTTGCAGATTGCCGTCCACAAGGGCTCATCTTTGGTGGCGATCGAGCCAATCTTGCAGTGCGTAAGCAGAACTGGTACCGATGGGGGCGGGACAGAGTCGATTGCAGTTCCAAGATGCGACTTGTGGACTAGATATGGGGGAAAAAGAACCTCTTCCATGTGATGAAAGACGAGTGCCCATGATAGGTGTGTTTGCTTGTCAACAACCCCGGTCGCATAGGCTAGTAGATCAACCGCACCTCCTCATTGCCAACTGTTTGTACCATTGGAAGACGAGCTGTCGGATTCCTGGATGCAGGGAGGTGTGATTCCGGTAGCAGACCGGACGCGGTTCAGTAACAATCCCGACGTTATCACCAATGCTGCATCGGGTCACCACGGGGAAGTTGCCGGACCGGTCACAACAAGGTGTTGTCAAACTGACGAAAACCGTTGCCAACCGTCCGGAGCCACAGAATCGTACCATGGGAATCTGACAGGCCGGGGACCGTTGCTCGTTCAAATGGTGGTTGCTTGTAGAAAAAGAAATATGCCCGTATGTATCTCCTAGATCGACACTGTGCTACGGCAGCGGTGATCTGGCGTTGGTGTCTGCTTGTCCAATGTTTGCTTTTTTGACCCCGGGCCAGACCTTTAAAGCCGCTTGATATTAGTTGATTTGTCTCAATCATGTCTCTTCATGTCTGCTGACCTGTCACTTGTCGCTTCTGGACACGAGAAGAGCTGTTGGTGAAAAAGCAAAACAGACTTTGCAATTCCTTTGGTTTGGCGAGAACGAAGTAACGAATGTACCGCTACTTGGTCCCAACGGCTGGCTGCCATGGTTCGTGGATAGCCACATAGCATGCTGGAAGTTGGAACCAAACCTGATCTGGGTAATTCGGCGAGTCTTCCGTCGGCCTCAGGCTGAAACTGGTTTGGTTCGTTGGGGATGTTTCTGTCGAGATAAGAAAGACTTGGTACGGATGATGGTATTGTTATGGTTGGTGATGTTGGATGATGTCAAGGAAGAAGCAGAAGAGAATGGTACGCGGAAGACGGCAGCTACTGTTCATGAGGCAAGCTACAGTTTCGTCTGTGCCTGCTCCAATGCGACGTAGATGTAGCCACCGGCAGCCAGTTCCTGTCACGTGGTTACTCTTGCCCTCCAACTTACGAGAAGGGTTTCCAGGAGGTTTGCCAGAATGGAAAGGGCGGTTCGCATGGAAGGAAAGACGCCTATCCGCAAGTCGACGGACCCTGTAGTGAGGGCCTCAGGAGGCTATGCAATGATGGAAAGGATAACTACTACATGAGAATTGCATATAGTCAAGAGAAGCGACTGTCAAGACTGCAACTACTTAGTATTTGTTGTTGCTAGCAAGTAAGTCCCTGAAGGGCTGTTAACGGCCTGATAGCATACATTTCTCAAGAAAGGACTGTCACAATAATTAGATACAATTTGGCAATAATCAATTCAAGATCGGTAGATGTGTGAAGAGAGTGTAAGCATCGTGTCTCCAAAGCAACGCCCTCACACCACATAAGTCAACATACAGACGCAAAATAAGACAGTACAGACATGACTAAAAGAAATCAATACCTTCATTGACGTTAGGATATTATTAAGAATACTCATGTCCCATGTGTAAGCCAAATAGGCAACCACTGTCGTCACCCACCATCCGCTCTGCAGGGCCTCACATCACGAGAAACAAACTCAACAAAACACCAAAAAACATACAACACCAGGTATTCGCTGGTCGTCACCGACCCAACTACTAATCCGGCCCTCATTGGCTTGTCTATGGGAGAGCGGACGGGATCCCGAATTTTCCAATGGGTATGGTCGTATGTGGTGGAATGAGGGCATCGTAATGTCCATGTTGGCATGTAGAGACCTGGCGGACTTGACAGGCTCGATGCGCCAGGCACAAGAATACGCGAGTGATATGAATACAGTCTAAGAAACGAATAATAGCCCTATACATCACCTCAAAATAGGTTGTGGGATTGTGGCGTGGGTGGGTGATTCCCGATCGAGACAAATATCAAACTTGACTTTCATGTGTGACGAGAATTCTGTGTTTACACAATACCATCAATCTCATTCGGTATAGACATTAATGGACTGGAACTGAATAAAACTATCCAGGATAGCAAGACGTATCTCATACAAATGACAACGCCATGCCGAGATCTCCTCCTAGCTACCGATCAGCCAGCTGACCGACCGGTATCAAACCACGCGTATTGCAAAACCGCCTCCCAGCGAGATAACACACTACCACGAGAATCCAGAGAACTAACCTTAAGAGATGAACTTCCACATCATATCATTATCGGTAACACCATAGACTCAATACCGCCCGCCTATCCTCTCCAGATCCGCCTCCTCCAACACGGGGCTATTCACACTCCCGGCCCCCTTTTGCACCGAACTCGCCCCGACACCCGTTCCACCACCTCCGATACTCCAGCTTCCCCAGCTACTCCTCTCTCGCGACTCTCTCGCACACGTCTCTGTCAAGTCGCACAAATCCCTCGACTCCTTCTCCAGCACCACGCCCCGCGCCGGATTGCGAGGCGGAACCCACCCGTTGCTGACAGCGGCGCTGACACCATCGAAACCACCCCCCCGTTTCTGCTGCTGTTGCAGCTGCTGTAGTAGCAACTTTTGGTGAAAGGACACGGGACTCGCGGGGCTCCCGGGAGGTGCTGGAGGAAGCGAGCGAGCCGGTGGAGGACCAGGACACACCAGATCCGGTATCAGCAGCGGCCTCTCGTGAGGCCTCGGCGGCCGCATCGGCCACGAGGAGGGCGTGAGCTGCGGAAACATGCTCGAGACGTTGGATACGATGGTGGCGGTGCGACCGCTCGCCGCGCTGCTCATGCTCGACGTCTTCCCGGAGGATCGTGCACCGCCGCCGGTGCCTTGACCAAATGTGTTCGGCGGTGGAGGAACGCCGTAGTACGGTTTCGTCGAGCGGTCATATTTCGGAGGGACTCTGTTGGTTGCTGTGGGCGTGGGTGTCGAGATGGGCGACGGCGAGAAGACGCCTGCCTTCTCGACCGAGGCGCCCAGTGAAGTTCCTGGGATGGAGACGTTGATGTTGATGCTCGGTCTCTCGGGGCTCCCGTGGGTGGAAAGCAGCCGTCGTTGCTGTAGACGGGGTGGAGGTGTTAAAGGCGTACGGACGCCTTCGCGTATGTCGTATAGGTGTCCTGAAAGGGGCGTGGGGGATGTATCTGGCCGAGGGTTGGGATGCCCGATCTCACTCTTGAGGCTGTGGTCGTATTCGTCCCGTGAGCGACGGCGGAACAAACATATCACGAAGGCCATGATGGCGAGGAATGCTATTGCGGAGGACGTGCCGATGGCAACTTTGGTTCCCGTGGGTAGCACATCTTGCCGATGGGTTTGAGACTGATTCGCAAGTGGTGCGAAGGATGTCGGGTATGCCGTCGCCGGAGTTGTTGAGTGTGTCGACGTTCTTGACGTCGACGATGCAGTCGATGGCATGACTTCCGGCGGAACCGTGGCCATTATCCCGGAATCTGTGAATATTGGTTCTTTCCCTCTTGAGGCCGTCTTGTACGACGGTCTCATTTCCGTATTGATATACGGTCCGTTTAACGATATCGGACAGATGGAGTCATCCGGGGGAGGTCCTGGGTCTTTTATTACTGGTGCAAAGATACTGAGCTCGAAAGTCAGTTCAGAAGGGTCAAACTCGAGAGGGGCCGACTTACCCTTGACATACATTAATGACCAGATTTACGCTGGCTGAGTTGAAGTCAGAAGCCATAAGACACCACACGATAAAAAGCTGTCTCTCTACTCACGATCCTGCCCCAGCTCTGGCTTTCCACTCAAGTGAACCCCGCATTCGGTCGCGTCGCAGCAATATAGCTCCCATAGAGCGTTCTTCGCATCTTCATCGTCCGCTAGCAGATGCTTGCAAACCTCATTGTACCTTGATCCATTAAAGCCCGGTACCACTCTTGCCAGGACCTGGGCTCGACACTTCTCGATGCATTTCTGCGGATCCGAAACATTGCTCGCCACTGACCCCCATGCCTCCTCTTTCTTTTCCAGCTCCGGATGCTCGTCTTCCCCCGATTCCATGGTCGATGGATGAACCCCAGTCCAGTAGGGCTGCGATGAACGGCAAGGCGGATTTCGACTTCGTCTTGGGTGAGTGTAACTTTACGTATAGTGCCGTGTGAGCCCGTGGATGAGAGGCTTTCAGGTCAGGTGAGACAAACTACCACTCTCTTGATGGCAACTCAGCTTAGGTTGCAAAGGCTCTTTGCGTGAATGGTCTTGGCAAATGTGGGAGTGACGATGTGCGGTATCAAGTTGACGAGAACTCAAACGCAATATTTGACGAGGGGCTTACATCTTCAGCAAGGCGTTTACATCTTTGATATATACCATTTACTTTCTAGACACACTGGGCAGCTCGCACAGGAGGCTCGGTGAAGTGAAGAGAGGCGGACAAGGGGTCGGGAGGGACTGGCCAAGCATCACCGTGGTGGCTACACCGCACTGTATCTGTCCGCTCCCGAACTACATGGTCTTTCGCATGTAGTCAACGTCGTACAGCCTGCAGAGACTGTTGGGAGAGAGAGATATGCACGCACCCGAGTGGCCCGCGACCGTGATGGAGAGAATAAGCCAGGACTTGGTAGATTGACAAAAGTTGGCCGTAAACCCGCCCCAAATAGAAACTCAAGATGACCCTATTGGCTTGGAAAACAGGCTCGGATTCTGCAGTACCCACTAGCTTCGAGATTCTTACCTTCGTATTGTGCGTGCTTGAAGATTCTGCGTCAATTGAGGAGGGGAGCTGACATCCCCTTGAAGAGAAGCGATCCCGTTTCGGCATCCACCAAAGCTCGTATTCTCCAAGTCTATCAACGATGGACATTCCGCTCGTTGAGATACCACCCGGGAAGTCTTTCACCTCATTTCGTTCGATGAAGTTAGTCCTGGAACAAAAGATGCCCATAGGTTCTGCGATTGGACCTGCATTTATAAGGCTTCCGTGTCACGAGCGGCCCTACTTCGCACGAAACTCAACAGGAAGCACCGCGGCGGGGACAGCATTTAGCAACCCCATCCATACGGAGGATACACTAGCAGTACGGCAACCAGATCTTCCCGCCCCCGCCCCCCTTTTCGTCTCCTCTCTCGATCGGCAGTCTTGTTCGAAGACGGCCCGTTCAAGCCAGCCGACTAAAGTACTAAGCTTATACGGGATGGGTGTAGCCATCCTTCCTGGCAAAGGTGCTTTTGCCCAGGACGAGTGAGTAGGCGAGGGGTACCACGAACCGGGCCGGGGACCATCTGGCGGCGTTCGCTGAAGAACACAGACCAAGGTGTCACGGGTTCGGAAACCAATGGATTTTCATCGTACGCGAGCTCCCACGGATTCGTTGTCAGACTTCCGCGAGATGCCTTCCGAGGTGGGTTAGCGCGGTTGTACTCGTGGTTCGACTTGGTCATGACCTTACTCTTTGCACGTCGCTTTGATGAACTACATATGACTCTTGATCCGTTCGGGTGTCTCGGGTGTTCGGAGGAGAGTATATCGGTAATAGACTGTCGCACAAGCTTGTTGCCTACGATGTCCCGTCGCGAGTGGGATGGCTTAGCAGAGACTACAAAGCCAACATTGTAGTCGAGGAGTAATAATCTATTGATTTTTCTCTTCTTCAAAACTTCTCTTCTGACTTGAAAGGCTGAAGGAAAAAGAAACGTTTTCTGGGTCAGCAGCTCATCACCTTCTAGAAGCCTAGGCATCGTGTCAAAACCGGTTGGTTCTCGGGTTGAGACAGTAATTCGTGCCTGCAGCCGTCGCACTCGCGTCATATAGACTCTTGCCTTGATGTTGTCTCGGCATAAATCAATGAACCAGCATCTACACTGGGCGACCAAAAGAACATGCATGGTGAAACGGAGATTATGCCTATAAAGTCTAGAGTTGCGAGCGCTACACGAAGTATGACCAGAATTCACGCTCAACGCAACGGCAACCTAGTTTGACGGGTTAGATTGAATAATGAGGGATCAGAAAGAGCCAAATGGGCGATCACCAGCGGGTTATAGATCAGGTATAGACTGCGGCAGCAGAAGCACGGCACAGGTGGGCCAAGGTAGGGTCGTACAACTCGCGTGGGAAAACTTCCGTGATCTCTGCCTAGGAAGCTGAAAGGCCCAACACTGGGGGGAAGAGTCAACGGGAAGGCCTCATTGGTATGGCGTTCGCATGGCGTCCTGTGGCTGTAGATTGATTGTTGAGGGCTGCATGGATTTTCAGAGATATCTGAAGCCATCCGGGGTGGCTGACATGCACGACGGGGCGGTCATACCTTGGTATTGGAAGGAGTGGCACTTTCACCCCTAGTATACACTTATTCTCAGCTTGGCTGGAGAGTAGTCGACACTTGAGAATGCAAGTGCCACTTTGCGTACTCGAGAAGATGTCAGGGTCTCCTCAGATGGTCTCGTATTGCTTTCTCATCACGCAGTAGAATAGGGGGTCGATAATCGGACGTAGCGTGAAAATTACGCTGGCTGCTTCTCACATCTTAAGCTGACTGCCGGGGTACCACATCGGAACAATAGCAACATGCTGACGACAGTAGCTTGCATTCTCTCGATGCCGAATATCTAGAGGACCTAGATCCTCCGCGATGAAGTACAACAGGCCTAGTAAGTCCCTCGAATTTATGCAGCCTCGAAGGAAACGTGCCAATTTCTTCGGCCATTTGACTCAATAAGTAAGTTTCGTCCGGATCTGAGGAGCCGTGGGAACCAAGGGAAGGCAAGAAAATGGTGCGCCGCCTGGCGGGAGACTGCAGTAAATCCGACGGATTTCCGTGATGTTTGCTGGCTCAGCTCCGCTCCACCAGGCTGCAGCGAACGTGCCGGTCCTTGATTTGCGAAGAGGGCGTTGGCTGAGCGATGCTTGCTTATGCAACCTCCCGTCGAAGGCCTTCTGAACGGGGCAAGCAAGGCTTCTCGTTCTATGGGAACATGTCGATCTGGCAGAGGCGGTGATTCCTTTGTTGAAGCTGGATTTGGGAGTCAATCCTCCAGGCACACCGGAAGCTGCGTATTGCTGGCGTGAGCAGTGCACTTTTGAGATGGAAGTCCAGTTGCTTTCCACCCAAGGCCACAGGTACACCAAAGTCTGAACAGGGTAATGCTCTCCTTCAATCAATTGGCATACAGGCAGTATCTCGCTGTAGTCAAACTCTCTGGACATTTCCACTAAGTAGACCGGAGCTAAGAATCCAGGCAATTCGGCAAGTCAGCCGGTAAGTATGCTACCGTTCCTACCGGGATGTGTCAGCGGCCGGCATTATCGCCCGCAAAATCCGGCCCCATAGCCCCGACTTCGGCCGGAGGAGGTGGCCGAAGCAATCGGGGAGGGGACCACTTGCGAGAAGATGAGCGAATCGATGGCGCCCTGGAAGACTGGGATGACGTGACGCTTTTGGTGCCCCACGCAACCCGCGCTGGGACCTGAATGGAATTATGCAGTAGAAGTGTGGTGGTTGCGCGGGGGTCGCGAGAGCGGGGCATTGGTTGGGGGTTGTGTTTGTTAATCATCATGCAATGGAGGGGTAAAGTGACGGCGTCTTGGGTGGTGGAGGGGTCGAGCTGTACCTGGGGGAAGGATAAAAGGGTTCAAAGTGTCTGAATAAAACCAGAAACTCAATCCGTTTGATCCGAACAATCTTTGAAGCCGCAACGTTGTCTCATCCATAACACGTCCCAATTGACATTCATGAACAACCATTGAGAGCCATTGAGATATACAAACGACAAGATGACCAAGATTCTCCTTACAGGTAAGTGATGAGTGAGATTGTAGCCGTACTCTCAAAAGCTCAATGATATACAAACTTCACTCCTGCCGCCGAGAAGCGAGGCAATATCACACAAGAGCACGATACTAACACCCCACCAGGCGGCTCCGGCTTCATCGCCGCCCACATCCTCGAACAGCTCCTCGCGCGCGGCCACTCCGTCGTGACGACCGTCCGCTCAGAGGACAAGGCCCAGCGCATCCGCGACGCCCACAAGGACCTCGACGCCTCCCGCCTCCACGTCGCCATCGTCCCGGACATTGCGCGCCCCGACGCCTTTGACGAGGTCGTCAAGACCCCCGGCCTCGAGGCCGTCCTGCACACCGCCAGCCCCTTCCACTTCAAGTGGACCGACGCCCAAAAGGAGCTCATCGACCCGGCCGTCGTCGGCACCACCGCCATTCTCAAGGCCCTCAAGCGGGACGCGCCGGGCGTCAAGAGGGTCGTCGTCACGTCGAGCTTCGCGTCCGTCATTGACGAGGCCAAGACGGAGGACCCCAACACCATCTTCACCGAGGAATTCTGGAACCCCGTCACCGTCGAAGATATCGGGCGCAGTCCCGCGACGGCGTACCGCGCCTCCAAGAAGCTCGCCGAAAAGGCCGCGTGGGACTTTGTCAAGGACGAGAAGCCCGGCTTCGACCTCGTCACGCTCACTCCCCCCCTCGTGCTGGGCCCCGTGGTGCACCACTTTGCGGACCTCGCCAGCATCAACACCTCCAACGAGCGGGTCGTGGACTTGGTCAAGGGCAAGTGGAAGGACGCCGTGGCGCCCACGGGAGCGGCGTACCTCTGGATCGACGTGCGGGACCTGGCGCTCTCGCACATCCTGGCGCTGGAGAAGCCCGAGGCCGGCGGCAAGAGGCTCTTCACGACGGCCGGGTGGTTCAGCAACGCCGAGATTGCGCAGGTGGTGAGGAAGAACTTCCCCGAGCTGAAGGACAGGTTGCCCGCGGAAGGCACCAAGGGAGGGGAGCTGCCGCCCAAGGATAAGGTGTACGGGTACGACAACAGCGCGACGGAGAAGATTCTGGGTATCAAGTGGAAGAGCCTGGAGGAGAGCATCACTGATTTGGTCAAGGATATCAAGGGGTTCGGGATCTAGACTGCGGTCATGTAGTTTCGCAAGAGACAACGACTACGTAAGACAAGAATATTTCAATCGCCTCATGACCTGTGTACATAGAATATGTTTGTTGCTCACAAGTGTTTCCGAATACGCAAGGTTGAAGATTGGACTGTATAGTGCCGTCTCATAGCAACCGAGTATTCACATCCTTCGTGCCTGATAGTTCAAATCTTATAGAAAGATACGATTGCAGAGGTGGTTTATTTCTGCCCTCAGTCTGTGGCAGCCTCAAATGCCCCTTTCTTACTATATACTACTAGGATCGAGAAATGAAGGATAAAAAGAAAGGAAGATGGAGGGTAATACTGACCTTATAATTCACGCCCCTGCCCGGACTCGAACAGCGCGACCCTCAGTCAGACCAGACTCTGACTTCATTGGAGTATTTGTTTTTTATTTGACCATTCGACCACCCCGCACACAGCTTGACCTGACCTCGTCGACCTAGACGGGCGCTGCTGTTCTGGTGACAGAATTGGGATCGAGGGGGGACCTTTACTCTTGGCTCTTGGGTGCCTCGACGACTACCTGAGAGGAAGGAGCGAGGCAGATGGAAGAGCCAAGAACATATTCATCCTTGAGTTTAGATATTCCGGAACGAATAATCTTCAACAACACCAACACCAACACCAAACCACAAGGCGGTAATTCGTATCTTCATGAGAACCATCTTACTCGCGGGTCCGGAGGCTATAGGTTCATGATCAGAACCAGTCCATAGATCTCATACTGCCAATAGTCAAAACTTTTATTGCAAGAAACCACATACCAAACTTATACAAAATAGCCTCCAGTCCTTCAACATCTTCTAAATAGTGGCATTCACACCCCAAGGTCCAAACCCAGGCCAATGCTGCCCACCACCGCCTCCTCCTCCTCCGCCGCCACCACCACCACCACCACCACCACCCCATCCATACGCATCGGGATCCAACATCCCCCTCCTCCCCATCCACCCGCCCCCAAGCCGATTATGCTGCTCACACAAACTCCCATCCCGCCCTCTCACCTCAACACCATTCCCACACCCAGGCCTCCGACACCTCGCATGCGCAAGACAATACCGCGAACCACCCCCATTCACGCCGCCCGCAGCCGGCTCCGCGCACCCTTCCTGTCCGCACACGTGGGCCCGGCAGTACGGCGACAGCGGCAGGTTGAGGCTCAGCACGCCCAGCATCATCATCGTCTGCGACAGCACGACCGTCTCGCGGAGCTGCTGGCAGCCCTGGACGGAGCACTTGTGATCGGTACAGTAACGGCCCAAGGCCGAGCGCTCGTTTTGGCAGCTTCGGTCTCGGCAGGTGTGGTCTAGGCAGAGGGTCCCTCCTTCGACGACGCGGGCGTCGCAGCCTGCTCTGCGGCAGCGTGTTGCTAGGTCTGGAGGGATGAAAGTCAGCTTGGTGGTTCTGGGGAGACTCAAAGCATGACCAGAGTCAAGGTCAGGGGTTCAGGGCCGAGTATCAAGAAACTTCAAGGAGAGAAGAAAAGGGGGAACAGCAACTCACGCTCCTCGCACATATCCCTCACATTCTCCCCATCCACATGCCGAAACCTCCCACACCCAGGCGTACCACAAATCCGATGCCGATCACAGTAATCCCCAAACGCCCCATCCCTCTCACAATCCCGCCTCGCACACTTATGCCTCACGCAGAAACTGCTCCCCTCCCACCTCCTCTCCCAGCACCCCTCCCGATCACACTCGTGCCTCTTGCAATACCGTCCCGCCACGCCGCCCGCGTCCGGCATGTACCTCGTCTTGATCCTCCCGCAGCCCCTCTCCTCGCAGGTATGCGCCACGCACGTACCGTCACCGGCGCCCGCCGCCCTCGCGTTGCCGCACGGCGGCTGCTGCTCGAACCGGCAGTGGTGCTCGCCGCAGTGGGCCGAGGGGACGCCGTGCTCGTTTACGTGGGCGAAGCGCCGGCAGCCGGGCGTGGCGCACATGCGGTGGCGGTCGCAGTGGCGGGAGGGGTCGTGGGCGTCGCCTGTCGCGCCGGGGCAGCGGGCTAGACAGGAGGGGGCGGCGCAGGTGTGGGAGGCGCAGAAGGAGGACGGAGGGGATTTCGGGTTTGTGCAGTCTTGGTGGTCGCAGCGGTGGTCTGGACAGTATCTGTAGTCGGTGCCGTTTGGGTGGTTGCGTTGGTTTGCGCAGCCTTGTTGGATGCAGTTGTCTGGATGGTTGTAAGATGGATGATGGAGGCTTATGCCAGGGTAGAGGATGAGGGATGGGCAGACGTACGATACTGTGAACAGTACCTAAACTCTTTGGGGTCGTAGTCCTTGATGTAGTTGTTGCATCTAGCATCGTTCATCGTGCCTTGGCACAAGAGATCTAGCAGGAAAGATCAGTTATAGATATTCCAGGGGTAATGAACGTGAGACCCGCGAGGTCAGGGGGAAGGGGCAGTATACGTTGTTGACAGTATCCCCTGTTGTTAGTCCTCATGTTCAAACACGCAGCGTTATGATCAATCTTCTTGCAGCAATGAAGCTTGCAGAATCGAGACGGATAGCGGTTTCCGTCTCTCGTCAAGGTTACCCTGGTGTAGGGACACCGGCCCGCGGGCGTTGCGTAGCTGCACAGTCTCTCCAACTCCTGAGGCGTGAGTCTCTTTCTTCTACTCATGGTGAACTCCTGTGACTTTAATCAATCGATGTAATGCTTGATTCTCGTGTATATAGATTCGGGCAGAGAAGAAGTTGTTCAAAAAGAATTGAGTTACTATGCCGAAAACTGAGGAGAAAATGAAGACGAAGTGGGAGAACGTTGCTCAGTATCCAGTATTAGCCCCCCCTCGGGCTTTTAAACTGCGGACCAAGACACATGCGCTGAAGTCCGCATAAAGTCGGTGAGCAACCACCCGCGAGACAAATCAAGGCAACAGAAAACTCACGAGCAAAAAATAGCCTTCTTGGTGGAATGCGAGATACGATGGGGACACCTCAAGCCTGATGACGTGGGGAGAGAGGCGGTGGTCAAGGTAGGACGAGGAAAAGGGCTGCTCATGTGAGGCCCACGGCAGAGACCCGATTAGGCGTTCTTCTTAGAATACAGAAGAGACTCGTGACTTGGATGTAAAGGCGAGGATGTCGAGTATTACAAACTTCTTTTGGGCAAGGCCGTCCGATGTCATGTTTGGTCTTGTTCTTGCGGTGTGCCTCAAGACGGTTCCACGAGGATGTCGGTATCCGGGTTTTGCGGTTCAACGGTGAGTTTTTCCTCGGGAGGGAAAGATGGAACTGATGAATGTTTGCTTTACACTGAAGAAGAGACGAGGTCACCGAGCTTGAGTCCTGAAATTTCCCAAAGACCATCTGATTCACAGGTGATGGTTTCCGACATCAACGTTGACTAATGACATTCATTCCCGTAAACAGCAGGCGTAACCTTTGCGGTTCATATATAGTCCATATTGCAAGAGATACTCCCCACTAAATGACGAGAGACTTGAGGCCACTCACCTAAACAGGGCAGGAAAACGTTGCTGCTTGTGTAGCATCTAGGACACTCTCAGCAACTCTCGACTGTAGGCAAATTGCCAAGAACGGCCCTATGGTAATCTCCTAAGCTGAGGAAAGTACCCAGGATCAAAAAGCAACACAGCAAAAGCATACCCACTGTCCCGAAACCAGAATATCCTTCAGATTAGCAAAAGAATTGCGTCGAGGGGGGATCGAACCCCCGGCTCCCCGACGCTGCTTGGATGGCAACGGAGAATTTTACCACTAAACCATCGACGCAGATGATCCCGAATCGGAGCTGTCTCGATACTGGGGTGGTTGACGCTGACGGGTGGATGTGTAATTATATCCCTCAATGTGCAAAATTTCGACGAGGGTGGTCCAGGGTTGTTGTTGGAGTTGGTTTTGTGGAGTTGTGGGTGGCTGGGTGGGGCTAAGGTTCCCCATGAAGTCCCGTATCAAAATCGTCCTTGAGAATAATCTTGGAGGGAAGAAGAAGCCCAGATATGAGGGTTGAGATTGTGCTGGCTTCGTTTGCGCTGCGTTGGAGTTGGGTGTGCGCGATGTCTAAGTGAACCTTTGGTGGGCGGTAGTTTTGAAACATAAATCACCTCGGGGGAGAGTCAGCATCATTCCAAGAGACGTGGCAGGGGCTGGCTTGATACCTAGACTTTGAAATGAGTGAGACCATGCAGAAAGAACGGGCAAAGTAGGCTATTGGACATGTCGGAATCAGCCTTGACAGAGATTGCAAGTGAAGTCCGCCCCCTCTCGACAGGTTGCACCTGTATCACATCTCGGCAATGGATGTCGGTATGATAAATAAGCAAGACCACGTATGGTCGCTCACTGTATTGTTCATAATCTACCCTCAAAAACCTGTTACGGGTTGCGAGAGGCTGTTTAAGCCTCTGTAGCTGCTTTTCCCTCAATGTTGAAAGCTGGTCGAAACACAGTCGACCAGCTGGAACACCAATTTTCCCTCCGGCGCGCTATGCCATGTAAAATATGTATCTCTCTTTCTCTCTCACACACACTCAGTTCTTCCCGTACTGTGGAACCGAAAACCGTACTCATATGCTTTCCTCTAAGCTGAATCACCCTCGGAGCCCTCCTCAAGGTCTTCGCCAGTGCCCTTGAGGACTTCGGCCTCGGTCGTCGTCAGGCCCTTTCTAATGGCGAGGACGTTGTCCACGATGACTGCATCGATGCCTTCCTTCACCTGGCGCTGCAAGAAATAGTTAGCATCATTTTCCATCCGTAAGGCGTGTCAAACCATGGAAACTTACCTGGACCATAATGGGGTTGTTGTTCAATGTACCGTAACTGACACACAGCAGACCGCTTTCCTTGACGACGCGCACCAGCCGGGGACTGTTAATCAGCGGCTCGGCGGCACTGACAATGCCAATCAAGTTCCAGCGACTGGCAAACCGAATTGCCTCCTGGAGAGAAGACGCTCTGATATCACCGACAGGGCAGGTGCCAGCATCCGTCAAGAACATGATGGGGATGGAAGGTTGCTTAAAGGTCAAGCAAAGACAAATGTCCGGATTGAAGGAGCTGAAGATGATGTGCCTGTTGCCAGCAAGATCATAGACCTTGGACAGAACAGTGTCGCAGAAGGAGTTGAGCTCGACGGCGTAGGTATCCATCTCCTGCTCCTCACTCTCATGAAGCATGGGGTACTTCATCTCAATGTTGAAGCCAATGTGCTCGGGCAGCTGTCGAAACAAGTCCTCCAAAGTGGCAAATGGAGCTTGAATGAAGTTGCCTCTGGAGTTGGCTTTGTAGCCCTTGTTCTTGAAGTCGCGAGTGTGCTTCATGCGCTCTTCGCTGTGTCCGTTGAGGCCATCACCAGCGTAGCCCATGGACAAAGACCGCTGTCTAGGGCCAGGTGCGTTGTTTCTCACGCGCTCGATTCTCTCATTGACCGCATTGACACCGTTGTTGACACCATTGGTGCGGTTTGAGTCGGGGTTGATGTGCAGGAACTGCTCCAGGGTCAAGGTATGAACCGGAGCATCAATACCCGTCTCACTGACAAGGAAGTCATGGTAAATAACCGGCACATGATCCTTGGTAAGCTGAACATCGAATTCGACGTACTGCGCACCCAGATTGGCTGCTGCGATGAATGAAGGTACCGTGTTCTCTCCAAGCTGGAGAGACTTGTTGCTCGTCATGTTCTTACCCATGCCGCGGTGACCAATGACCATCGTTGAAGCTAGCTTCTTCCAGTAGGTCTGCTGGGAGTTGATTTCCATGTTGGGATGCGAGAATGGCGTGACAACCAGGAAGTTGAAGTTGACAGTGCCAATGACATCCAAGTTGTTGGCCAGAATCGGCACACAGACATCACCCTGGAGGTTCATGCGCTTAGTGCCAAGCGTCGGCCTGATGGAAGACAACAGGGCCACACCACGTCCAATCTTGTTCTTCTCATTTCCAGAGTAAGTTGGGACAATGTCAAACATCAGCTTGACCTGGGAAGGGTCCGCCGAAGTGAACACGATAGGCTCTGTGGAGATGGTCTCGTGAACAGGCAAATCAACAATGGTGGGCTCTCCCTTGGCGCCACTGGCCGACACGACGATAGACAAGGCGGTGTCGAGTTCGGTCAAGTGGGCCTCGGTCAAGGGGACGCGGTCGAGTTTGACGGCCTCGATATTCTTGCGCATGTCCATGGATCCGAGACTGACGAGAACCATGCTCTGATCGGTAAGGTATCGATGACCAAAGGTCTTGACCGGCTCAACGGGACGAATAGCACCATTTGACTTTCGACCATCGATCGAAGACATGTTCTCGGGAGACGAGGACCGAGGGGAGCTCTCATTGGAAATCTTGAGATTATTCGTAGGCTGAACAATCTCAGACTCAGCTTGAGTGGCGAGGAGCCTGGCAATGTCGAGATGACCACGCAGGGCGGCGTGTTCCTTGGCGGTCCAACCAGAGGAGTCGGCCTTGGCGACAACCGCACCAGAGTCAACCAGCAGTTGTACCATTGACGAGTGGCCGTCAACAGCGGCAACATGGAGTGGCGTCCAGGCGTAGGTGTTCTCTGCGATCTCAAGGTCGGCTTTCTGCTCGTCGGTGCCGGCAATGAGCGACTTTGCAATTTCGTCGTGGCCGAATCGGGCGGCAAGGTGCAGAGCGGTTTCACCCGTCTTGTCCTGCCAATTGATGTCGACTCCAGCTTCAACGAGCATCTCGACAATGACCTTGTAGTTGGACTTGGTGGCCATAGCGAGAACCGCACCGGATTTGGATACCGTTCGTCTCATCTCGGCCTTTCTGACACTCACACCCTGCCAGTTTTCACCCTGAAGAAGAGCTTTGGTGGTCAATGGATGTCCGCCCACGACACTCAGGTGCAAAGGAGCATATCCTTCGTTATCCTGCCATTCGGGGGCATCGATGCCATTTTCAACGTTGAATTGACCCCATTCCTGCATCTTGGCCATGATGACCTGGCACACGACAACGAAGCCGAAACGGGCGGCATAGTGAAGCGGCAGGCGTCCAAAGGAGTCTCTGGCAGTGAGCGCATCTCTGTGCTCAGGCTTGAGAGTGTCGAGTAGGTACACGAGAATCTGGACAGCCTCGTCATCTTTGCCGAGCAGCTTCGTCTCATTCTGATTGAGTGCGCGGGGAACTACAGCCTGCGAGACTGCTGGCTGGAGGTCATGAGAAGTGAACTGAGTGCCGATCGGGAAGGGATACGATTTGGGCTCATTGTCGGGATCAGATGACTTGGTTCTGCCAATATGAATGACAAGCCGGTGGATGCAGTTGCGGTGGTTGATGTCCTCGGGCTCATAAATGGACGGCAGCTGCTCGATAAGATAGGCGATGCTCGCCTTGGATCTCGCAGCAATGGAACGCTGCAAGAGGTTGAGAAGCAAGCTTTGAGAAGACTGCTCACCCGTCACGTTGCCCTCGTCTAGTCCAGCCTTGAGGGAATCGACATTGTCGTTGCGGATGGCCTGCTCCAGAGTATCGAGTAGGGTTTGCGACAAAGTCAACATGGCCTTGGAGGATGCGCGGCCCAGAGACCGCACTGACCTGTCCGACTTGGAGTCGTCAACGTTGCGGGCGTCACCCAGAGCGGAGATCCATTTGTTAATCTCAGTGAGGAGGCGCGTGCTCGTCGTGTCCTTAGCAAACGGCAAGGGGTCGACTTTGGTAGAAATGTAGCGGTGCTGGGAAGCCGTCTCGGGAAGCTTCTTGTCGAGCTTCTTTGTGATTTTGACGAAGCCTCTGCGGTTGATTTCGGCGAACCAATTGAGGTTTCTCAGCATGATGCGCATCTCGTAGAGAGCGCCCATGAGCTCCTCGGTCTCATCCTCGTCGAGGTTGGAGACGACGTCGGGAACGCGGCCATAGCGGTCGCGCAACAGACTGAGACGGCGGACGGCCTCGCCAAGCTTGCGGTTGTAGAAAGAGTCGACGTCTTCGAGATTACGATCCAGGGCAAAGAAGAATTCTGCAAGATGTGGTCAGGGGATGGGCTGCGCCCTCACGGTCCGGTCCAAGTCCGCCCACCTGCAAGATCCACCGTCTCTCCGTTCTTGGCCGATTGCGCCGCGGCCTTGATCAACTTCTTCAGGCCCTTGTAATTGATGTAGAAGGCCGCCCACTCGGGGACTTGGTTACGGGGGAGACTGCAGACAGCGTAAGCATAGTTTTCCATGAAATAACAAGGCGGTCAGGTAAGTAAAAGGCAAGGCCAAAAATAGCAGAGATATCGGTTTCTGTCGGGTGAAGCGGCAAGAGGGGGAGAGAGGGATGGGGAGGAAGGCGCACTTTCTGCCGAACTTCATGGTGAAATGATGTCTGAGTTCGTTATCAGGGATTGGATGTGACGCTGTGGCGTCAGTTGGTAGTGATACCGTCTAGGCGATACAGCTTTTGAAAGAATGCTGCAGCAACAGATAAGGTGCTGACGAGAAAATAAGACGACAAGAGTGAATGATGATGCTGAACGGCTGCTTAGAGGCAGATGGACTCGCAGCCGCAATCAAACATTCTCTCTTTTTCTCAATTCTCGTAGGTGGTCGTGATTTTGGCCGAGGGATAAGTTGATGACGGTCGGAGGTATGTTGTAAGAGGTGAAGGGAGGTGAGGTGAGGTGAGGTGAGGTGTTGAACGTGGTGAGTTGGAGAAGGTGCCAAAGATTTGAAGAAGACACGAATCCACGTCAGTGTGCCGGAGAAGACTCGAGATACAGAAGGCACTATCCGCTTCTTCTTTGTCGCGGCAAAAAAAAAAGAGAGGATCCAGAATTCGAGGTCGCTCAGTCAGTCAGTCACGAGAGTCCCGTTGGTTTTTCCAGGTTCAAGGAGCTCCACATCCAGCTCGCCATTGACTGAAAAAGGGCGGAGAAAAGCAGTGACTGAGATGGCGTATCTCGTACGGTATTTGGTATTCGTCCAATGACTGGCTTACCGAATACACCTCTACAGAATCCAAAGGGAAGAAGAATGAGAAAAAAAAGATCTGGACCCCCCTTAGGAGAGCATCAGTGGGTTGGAGGGGGATTATGTATGAATGAATGAACCAGAACTTCAGACCGACCGGCGCAAGGAGAGAGTGGATTGACAAGTGACGGAAGCATGCAACAGTGCTTCCAGGTCTGCACCTCTGGTACCTTAGCACTTCACCTTACTGCAGCAGGACCTACGGTAGCAGGACACCAGGAGAAAAGAAGAGGTGTGGGAGGTGTGAGCTCATCTCAACCTCCACAGCGGCCGCAGGGTATCCGAGGCCTTGGCACGCCGTACCTCTTTGTCGGTCGTCAGGTACCCCACACACCAGTCGATGCTGTGGAGGGTACTGCCGAGCCCCGGCGCGACGACTCGAGACACGGTCGGGAGGTACGTGAGACACCCAAACCACCTTCCACCACCCAGCACCAGTCGCTTCTGAACGTGACGGCAGGTGCGTTGGAAGGCAGGCACGCAGGCACAGGAAATGGCAATGACAACCCAGCAAAAAACATAAGGTTCCTTCCTGCCTTTGAAATGAGAGAAAGAACACTGTCCCAAAAACAGCTTGAGGTGTGGCGTTATCCGGTCGGTGAAGTCAGCCACTTGGAAGCCGCCGTTGACCGCCCGTGGAGCGCCGCCCCTGTTTGATTCGCCAAGTCACGGGATGCCCGCCCCACCACGGCTTCAGCTGGCCGGCCTGTCCATGATCACCCCGCCGTTGATGTAGCACCAACACTGGCTATCCCGTCCTTTTCTCTTCCCTTCCGCTGCCTGTAAAAGGTACAGTAGTGAAAGCTCTCGTCACAGAGTGAAAGGAGGGAGGAAAAGAGACGCATGCTGACGTTGCTGGCTCAATTGATCATTTACATGTGTATGCCCTACCGGCCGGCGATAGTGCACCACAAGTGAGCCTGTACCGTTCACTAGTACCTCATGAACCAATTCTAATCACTTAGTGCACTGCACCGCGCTCCGCGCTCCCACCTCTCCGCAAGGTACCTAGAGGCAGGCTCACTGGGCTGAAGGACCTGAGGCGAGTCGGGGCCGCGTCCCGGACACATCTCATCTCACATTCGAGCAGCCCTCCCGGCACGCCGGGTCAGATGGGCTGTCTAAAAATTCCAGACCGCCTCGCACGCTTGTCAGGTCGTCCGTCCTCATGACCTTTTCCACCCCCGGAGGACTCGCCGAAGGCGGGAAGGACCCTGAAACCGACATCGGTATCTGTCCGGTCAAACTGCACGTTTTGGCCGCCGTTGGAAAGAAAAAAGTGCACCTGCATGCTTCTAAACATACGTCCATACCTTGTTGCGCGCGGGCTCTATTACTGTGCGTACCTGTGTATAAGGTAGTTAGTGTACGGGTACCCCTTGAGTCCTGACTCTTGCACATACAAGTGACTGGTCCAAATTCATCGCGGCCCCAGGAATGACCTACACCAGTCCCCACCCAGATCTGGTTCCGCGATGCATGTTCCAAGTTTTGGTTTTTTTTTTAGGGGTCCTGTCACCTGGTCACTTTGGCCAGGGCGGAAGACATCGGCATCCCGGCTTTCATTTCTTTACAGTCTGCAAATATTGATTGATAATGAGAGAGGAATCGGGGGCCTCTTGCTTGATGCTAATTCGGCTCTCACGGAGCTGCTAGTCACTTTACTGCTGACTAGGTAGCCAGATCTTGCCACCAATATAACGCCGATGGAACTCGAGTGACGACTGATCAACCAGGACCCAACGGCGATCCATGGAGAAGAAGTTACAATGTCACACTGGCCTACTCATACTGCGTAAATTCCTCTGCTTTGGCTTTGCGCCTGTGCGACCAACCTGGGGAAGAGTCTTCAGTCTTTCTGCGTGAATCAAGAGTTGACAACTTATTCCCAAAAGAGTACGGAGTACCTAGCGCAACGGCCACATAGGACCCTTTTCACGCCCACCCCAACTAATTTAGACTCTCCAATTCCTGGGATTCTCTTTTTTCACATTTGCGGCTTAAAGCGTCTCTCAAATTGTTACTGCCTTTTGCTTTCAAGTTCGTCCCTCTGACGAGGCCTCTACTACGCAGCGAATCAGTAGCCTTAACCAATCACCAAATGAGGTAAAAGATACCTTTACTCGAACCCTCTTCTTACTCGATAGTTTTCCGTTATAACTGTCACCCAAAGTCAGATTTAAACAAGCTTGCTTCGCGTGTTGTATCCGTATTCCCCTTTTCGTTCTTTTCCCCCGCCTCAAATTATATTACAATGATATCACTCGTGACTACCCCAACAAAGTCAATCCCAGTTTGCCAAACGCTCGGGGCCGCAACCCTCTTCCCGCGCAGTGTCAAAGACTTGCGACCGACATGGTACGATCCCATTCCTTGGCATCCTTCAAACTTCCCTTTCGGAGGCTTCCATGGCTCAGCTGTGGTAACTGGGTCTCAGCTGTCCAGGCACAGCAATAGTAGCGGCCGGGGAGGTGATGCTTTTGAGCCGCAGGGAACGAGGAGGTAAATACAAGCGGCACCAAAAATACAATACCTGACAACTACACTACCTTACCATGCACAAACTAATCCGATTCATCGTCATCATAATCATCATCATCATCGTCGTCGTCGTCGTCGTCGTCGTCTAGCGGAACCCGACGAGCCCAGTACGGGTTCGTCTCGGCCATCGCCGCAATGCCCTCCTGAGCATCATCCAGAATCTGCGCCGCCTCGGGCATCTCAACCCACGACGGCCGCGCGTACATATACTTGACCTCCATCTCATCGCCAGTGTACTCGGGATTATCGTACACCGCCCGCGCCAGCTCCCGAATCTGCCTCTTGAGCCCGCACACCAGCGGCGACGCCACAAACCCGTGATTCTCCACCAGCTCGCGCCGCTCCCGCATGATGTGCGACCGGATATTGTACCCCTTGATCGCGTCAATCACCTCGGACGGTAAGGTTCTCACAGCGGCGCCGGCGCCCTTGCCCGTGCCCTTATTACGGACGACCACCTTCCGCAGCATCCGGTCCGCGTTGCAAATGTCCCGGAGGTCCAGGTACAGCTTAATCTTGAGCAGCAGCAGCCCATCCAGCGTCCCAAACAGCACATTCTTGCTCCTCATAATCGCGAACGGCGACTCAAACACATCCTCCTTATACCGCTTCTCCCTCTTCCACCGCGGATCATTCCCATCGTCGCGCAGCGTCCACCACTTTGCGACATCATACGCGTCCCGGTCCCTACCGAGCCTCATCAACCCGAGCGGCATGTACTCCCGCGTAGACGCCGCGGTGATCAATGTTCAATATCTCGAACCGCTCCGCCAGCGAGTGCTGCACCGCGTCGATGGTGTGCTCCAGCTGCAGCGTCTTGCTGTACCTGTCGAGCGCGACCAGGTAGGCCTCCTCCGCCTCGTGGTCCGGGAAGACCAGGATCGCCTGGTCCTCGTACTGCACCGGCTCCGTCGACTCCTTCCAGTCCCTCTCGGCTACCTCGTACGCCGCCCTCGTCCGCGTGATGTGCGTGCAGGCGAGCTTGTGGCGCTTCCTGTCCGCGGCCTGGTGCGCGGGGCCGCAGTAGTAGGTGACTTTACAGGCAGCGCAGCGGGAGATGTTGTCGCGGGTGTGGCAGACGAAACAGTTGCGCGGCTGCAGGCCCGCGGGGTTTAATTCCAGGTCCTTGGGAACCAGATTATAGTATTCCACTTTTGATTCATCCATGAGGGGTAGGTCTAAAATGTGTCAGTATATTCCGTGATTTCGTTTTCTAAAGAATGTGAAGATACGAAGCTGGTGAGAGGGGAGGTGGTGAGGTAGGTAGGTAGGTAGCAGGTACACATGTATAAGTCAATGGAGCGGGAACCGGAGCAACTTCTTATCTAGAACAATACCTTGCTATCCGGAATCGAATGGAAGTGGATCGACCAGAACCTACCTCACACAGTACTGTGTAGAGGAACCTTATTTGTATCAATGACGCAGTCCGCTCCTTACTTGAATTGCTTGATATTTTGGTGTACATGAGCCCTTGCTATCAGGGGCATCTGATAGCCGGGTTTGGCCTTGGCCCTCTATTCTATCCATCAATTTGGCCTTGGCATATACGTGCCATATAACCATAATGTTACATGTGTGGTATAGTACATATCTACAGAATTTCAATCGTTTCAAAAACCTCGTCGATGGTGGTTTTGTTTTCGTGCTTCGTGTTGTTCGGTTTCATCCCCGCCGCCTCTTCAAGGCGATCCCATGCGGACGATTGACCCTGATTCTTTGAAAGAGCATTGCTTTTACTCATGCTTTTCTGCGCCAGCTGTGCTTCTGATGATTCCTCCAGGCGATCCCAAGCAGACCAGTCGACGTTTTCCTCCTGCGAGAAAGACGTCCCGAGCTGGTCTTCCGGGAGACCCTCCGGCAGCCAAACTAACTTCGTCGCTCTCCACTTCCTGTACATCTGCGGAGAGCCCGACTCAATGCGAATGGTACTGGCGCTGCCCGTTTTCACGCGCTGGATATAGTCGCGCGCTGTGTTCAATAACCAGTCCGTTTGGTGTACGGTGTGGGCTATTCGTGCGATGTAAGCTACACGCTTTTGATCCTCGCTTGACACAATCGAGAACATGGGATCTTTCAAGAACGGTGCCACGCTGATCGGCAAGCTGTGTTCCAAGCCGCAAATATCCAGTAAGCTCCGTATGCGCCGCGCAAGATATAGCTTGTCGTTCTCTCGAAAGAATGCTTTCTTGATCAGCACGGGTCTGCTTTTCAGTACTTCCAAAACCTTGGCTGCAGCTGTGCGATCCAGTGAGCGGGCGCAATAATCGAGCAGCTCAGACGTCGTCCGCGGGCTAATTACGAGGTCTGCCGTGATGCTCGCCGCAAATGCACCCACGGCAGCCCTCAGTCTGTCGAAAGCCAACATGCCTTCGATGATGGCGGCGAAGACTCTCTCATCAAAGCGCGCCCTCTCGACGACGTAATGGGAGCCGACTGCGACATCTTTCCTTCTAGCCCAACCGTGAAGAGAATAATGCTCCGCCACCTCCTCGCGCCTCTTTCTCCGGATCTTGACACCTCGTTGATCTTTGCCAGTCATACGAGCGATGAAACCCGCAAAGTTGTCTGCGTCCTTTATCGTCCTGTAGTGATTCAGAATACACACCAGGGTAAGCTGCGTGGGCTCGAGCTTGCCCTGGTAGAAAGAAAGAACTACCGCTGAAGCAAGGCCATGCATCCCAGCTCTGTCCAGGCCCGCAATAAGATGGTTGTATGTGTGGATGGTGAGGGATGAAGGCGATACGAGGAGATTGTGACATACGCTGTAGATCGTATGTTGGAAGTTCTCGGGGGTCGAAGCGTCAAAAATACTCCTCAACGCCTTGTTCAGCTCTCGACTCCACGTGTTCATAGCCTCATTGCTCAGTTCGTCTTCATCCCAGATAGGGAACTTCCTCCGTATCAGCTTGTCTACCTCCTCTCGCGCCGTTTGCATTCCTTCGCGTCCAACCATAGATTCGCCTGCGTCGAGAAATTTGTAGACCAAAGCTTTCGTTGCCACCGCTGCCGCCTTGACTTGCCTCGACGACCGCGGTGCGCGGTGCTCAATAGGCATCCACTCTTCTGTCGCAAGCTTCTTGACCAAGGCCTCGTAGTTGACCCCTCTGACTTCGGTTGAAGGACTCAGCTCGTATATCTTCCATAACCGGTCCACGTCGGCCTTTGTCGCAACAGTTCGCTGCCACCTATATGAGGGCCCGAGGGCGTCGAGAATCTTGCTGATTTCGGGGTTTTGTGGAACGTGATCTTGTAAGGCGCCTGGATATCGGTTGCCAAGGTCCCCAGCAGGCGGTTTCTGAGGAGCTTTCTCCTTTGCTTTTTCGACGAGATTTGCCAGCTCGCTCGAGACCTCTTCAATCTGTCGGTCCAAATCTTTTCGCCGCCTGTCTTTTGCCCCGGCATCCAGCATCGCTGCCGTTCCCATTATAGATGTGTAGCACGCCGTGAAGATCTCGCTAAAGGTCGGTTTTCGTTGCGTCGTGCGCGTCGCCGACTGCCGTATCATGCCCCCGGTGGCATTAAAGCAGGCCTTGCAGCCGCATCGGTGCGCCTGGCCCGCTCTAGACCAGATTGCCTGCATTCTGACGGCATGCCGGCTATCGTGGCAGCCTCTCCGAGTCGAATTGATGCGTTGACGTGCGACGAGGCGTCGAGGGTGGTCGAGATTCTCGATACGTTCCAGGCGCGGAAATTATCGTCTGATGCACAACTACTGACGATCGACTTAGCTTGGCCGAGATGACGGGTCCAATTGACAAGGGCCGATTGAAAATGTAGATAGACGTTATGCGATTAGGTGATTAGTGCGGCTAAAAGGTGTACTCGCTTATAGAAGTAACACAGCTGCCCCTCCAAGAGGTAACCCCACCATGACTTTACAGCGACCCTCAATCAGCTTTGGGTGCGAGAAACAATCAAACAACCACAATCTGAAAGGCACTGAGCTCAGAAAGATAGCCAAAGTCACAATGTTCGCCCTTTATCTCACAGCCGAGCTCAACGGGTAAGTTTCAATGGTTCTGAGGTCTTAGAACACGACAACTCACTCTCCACAGAGTCACAAATCTCCGCCCCGATGATAGCGAGGGTAACCCCTTCTGGTACACCTTCAAAGTCCAGTGCACATCCTGTCGCGAAGTTCATGACAAGACCGTCGGTGTCAACCGCTTTGTGAGTTTCTCCCCTACTTATAAGGCTTTCGGACAGTCCACTCATCTGGTACTCAATTCAGGACGAAAATGAAATGAGCGGTAGCAGAGGCGAGGCCAACTTTGTCTGGAAGTGCAAGAACTGCAAGCGCGAGTCTTCCGCTTCCGTGAAGGCCGCCCCAGCTTCGTATGAACAAGGCGAGCCCGCGAAGCAGCAAAAGATTCTCGAGTTCGACTGCCGTGGACTCGAGTTTACCGAGTTCATCCCCGAAGGCGACTGGCTCGCTGACGGCATTGATTCAAACAGCAAGTTCTCTGCCATTGAACTTACGGACGGCGAATGGTATGACTACGACGAGAAGGCAGGAGAGGAAGTGAGTATTAAGGATCTGAAGTGGGAAGTCAAGCGCGCTTGAAGAGGTTTGGTGAGGGTTCGGTTTACGGAGTACCCTAGTATATCGCATGGCGTCCGGTGTGACTTGGGGTTCGATGCGGTATGGCGGATGTGGGACAAAAGTATGGCGCGTGGTTTCTGGCATTCATAAGCTCTTTAGTCATTATCAAGGCATATCGCCTGCATTAGCACGGACGAAGCGATGTTTACAGCACCCAACGCGTGTTCCAGCTTTCCTGGTTTCAGAATGTATGGGTATTGAACATCTCTATGCCTAATCTACAAGAAGGTCTTCCCCTGCCCTCTATTCCATGCATGACATCGTCAAATACGTCAAAAGTAACCAGCCCGTCCTCTCTCATCCCGACGTTCCTCTTCACGGTCTTCGAGGCCGAGCCAGCTTCGAGATTCTAGTCTCGTTTCCTTTCCTTCGTGATCGTTCCGAGCAAACGAGCGAGTCACTCCTTATATATCTGGGTGCAAGCGAGCCAAAGGCAAGCTATGTTCCGCGGAGTACTCAGTGCTCATGCCCAGAAATCACGATATAACCCATGCGGTGGGTCAGGCAAAAATCCCGATGTGGGTTATGCCAAGTTCAAGTGTGCTGCCCTTGACAGCAAAAATGTCTCGTCTGTAGCAAAAGAAAAACCATCTCTCTTCATCGTGCGTAGGTTCTATGCACGATAGTGATGCCCGGGGGTTTAGTTCCTCAGACGGTTCTGTGTACGAAGACGAATGTAAGGCTCAACCGATATTCGGAGCCTTGCCGCTTAATTCCGAGCGGCTGGTAGTTGGAGACGTGATTTCAGCAAGAACCACGTTGGACCCTCAGGACAAAACCCCGACGATGTTCCAAACGCGTCCCCAGCACAGTTGCGTCTCCGATATACAGATCAGCGGGCCCAATTAGAGGAAGTAGTCGCCCGGTCCACGGCGGTTGGCAGGGACATGGCGCTGTTCGTCGGGGACTGCCGAGAAAATGCTGAACTTGGGGTTCATATCCTTGTCGACGGTCATGATGGACGCAACATTACCGCAGCGGTAGCAGTAGTTCGGAGCCGACCACACGGTGACGACAGAGTTCTGCGGGAAGTGATACTATTTTGCGTTAGCAGAAACCCAGTAATGCGGACTGATGATAGGCACTGACCTTGTAACCCTCATTGACAAGCTGATGAGCTCTAGCGATGAGCTTAAGACCGTTCACGTGGTTGAACTCGGTTGCAACCTTGTCGCCAAAGAGCCAGCCGGCGCCGCGAGGGCTGATAGCCCAAGTCTCGACGTCTTCGGGGTCGGACCAAACAAGATCGCAGAAAGCGCCTTCGTGGGGAATCTCCTGCGCACGAGCAACAACGCGGATCTGGTCGATGGTGCGGATCTCCGGACTAAGACCACCATGGACGCAGAGAAGCTCTCCATCGACGATAGCAGCGAGGACGAGGAAGTCGAAGACATGGCAGCACGCCTTCCACACGGAAGCATTGCCATACTTTTGCTGGCACTCCTCGTAGAATCCGTACACCTGGGTGATTTGGCGGGACTCATGGTTGCCACGAACAAGGACGATTCTGTCGGGGTACCTGAGAATGATTAGTATGATAGTGCAACGGATGGCAAAGGTTACTCACTTGGCCTTCAAGCACATGAGGAGAGTAAAAGTCTCCAGACTGAAGTAGCCACGATCGACGAAGTCGCCCAAGAAGATGAAGCGGGTGTCGGCAGACTGCGATGTGGTGGAGACCTCAACGGCGGAGTCAGCTCGGGAAGTCGCGCTCGTATCAGCGGCCGCGGCATCGTCCTCATCGTCTTCGTCAGCAGGGGGACTGCCAGCATTGCGGACCTTCTTTTTGAGCTTCGGGTTCGTAATCTCGGTAGGAGGCTCAATATCCTCGGGGCTGATGACCGTGGTGGCAGTCTTGGGGGCCTCCACATTCGACTCGCCAGGCATTCCACCCGCAACACGGAAAAGCTCCAGCAGATCGTAGAATTGGCCATGGATGTCACCGCAAATTGTGACCGGGGTGCACACAGGCTGAATATTGGATTCTAGATTCCATAAGTCAGCACAAGGTTAGAGAAGAGAGAATTACAGTATTCCTTACCCTCCATGAGCACCTCCTTTACAAGCTCGCACAGCTCTTTCATGGCGCGCTCGGGCAAGTAATGACACTGCTTGGCTTCCTCCAGCCACTCGTCTAAGCCCGCATTGGGGGAGAGTTTGGCGGGGCCGGGTCGGGGGATGTGGCTCGCCATTTTTTCGAGTATTTGGGTATGCACCTGGGATGTTGCCTCGATGTCGTACGGGTTGAAGTCCTCGGAAATGTTTGGATTGAATTCGGTGTAATAGACAGCCAAGTCGTCGTCGATATCGTCGGACTCGTAGTAGCTCGGATCGAAATCCTCTGAGAAATCGTCGAGATCAAGACTTCCTCCGCGGAGCGAAACGTGCGATGACTCGTTGGACTGTTGAATGGAGCGACCAATCTGTGCGGTGCGAATATCGGGCTCCTCAGAGTGATCGAGTTCTTCGTGTTCGGTCGATGGCTCCTCCTGGATGGTCTCAGGGGGAGGTTGATTTTGAGTCGGGCCGTAGAAAGCGAGAGAAGAGGCGTTCGACGGTGTTGAGAATGATGCAGACCGGGCACGGCGACGTGAGGGCGTTGTAAAAGGCTCCTGCTGATTCAAGGCGACCGGGTGTGACTGCAAAGGCGAAGGGTGCGGTGGAGCACTGTTCTGAGCGGGGAGCGTCGGAGGGGTATGATGGGCAGCACGGCTGGGTGCGGCTGCTGTGGACTGCTGGGCAGTGCTAGCAGGGGGGAGCTCTGGTAGAGGACGAGGGTTCTGTGAGTTCCAGGTGCTTTCGGGTGATGAATTCTGCAAGAATGATTCGAGAGTCCGCTGGTCATGGGCTTTGCGACGCAGAACTCGCTGGTTGTACTCGTCGAGCGGGTTATCGAAACCTCCAACTACAACGGGACGGCCTGAATTGGGGTCTCTGAGTTGTCGGCGCGGCGGATTGTTAAGAGGGGGGAGAGTGGGGATGTAGCCAGAACGACCAGGGACTGGAATTCCACGACCGCGGACGGACGCTGGGGTAGCACGTTCAGATGCGACAGGCACCTGCTGGGGACTGGTAGGATGATGCGCTCCGAAGTTGATGGGAGTCGCGCCCGGTGGAACTGACGGAACTTGAAAAGATACGGCTGCGCTGCGGTTGCGAGCACGGTCACCAGTCGGTCTGCTCCGTCTGACAGTGTTGGTAAGCGGATTATTCTGATAGCTGTTTGCTCGTCGGATAGCCGCCTCGATCTCTTGCGCAGTTGGCTCTCTGTACTCAGAACTCGTCGCAGCTTCCCGTGGGTGACTTCCTTCCGTAGCTTGGGCAGGTGAAGCTATTTTCAACTGTTTGAAATCCGGAAAGGTCTCCGGGTAGACGTCGATATCCTCGATTTCTTTGTCCTTGATGTTCGAGGTACCACCTTCTTTCTCTTGACCTGCCATCTTGATGGCTGGTGGGTGCTGGGTGAACCTCGGAATATTTGGTGTATCGGAATATTGTTTGACCGAAGGTGCTCTGTGAGAGGTTGTGTTTTGCCGAAATTTTTCCGAGGGGAAGTTTGTGGGGCTGTATGAGGTGAGGAGTGGAAGGACAGCCCTTGGGCCCCACCCAGACAGAGCTATCCAAAAAGGGCTAGTGTGAATGATAAGATAAGGCCCACATGAGGCAGTGGCACATTGTGAGCCATTCTTTCAGATCTGAAGTTAAGGTGAACCCAAAGCCCCGCGTCACTACCCTGCCGTCACATCACCTTTTGACATCTGAGCCAGGTCTTGCACATACCTTCTTGGACCCTTGCGCAGCAGACTTCGTCTTTCGGAACACTTCCACCATACATTTCCCAATGTTTCTTGCACAGTTTATCACCAGGCCACAAGACAAGAAACAATAACCAAACAAAACAGCGTAGCCATCCCATATCAGGTATCGATCACGAGCATAGGAATACAAGGCTATCTATCCCATTATGGCAACCTCTGGCGCCCAAGGCGCATCTCGAAAGCCAAATGGAGTTCTTCCAGTCTCCGGTCAACAGGCCACTACTGATGCGCCAAAGTCCAATAAGAGCAGGACTCCCGTCGAGGGCGACAAGGTTGTTATTCGAAGACTGCCCCCTGGCATGACGGAGCAAGAATTATGGAACAATCTAGGCGACGAATGGAAGGCTGGCAATGGCCTCGTTAGCTGGCACAACTTTGAGGCTGGGAAGATCTCTCATGAGTATGTGCTTGCTCCCATGTGTCCAAGGGTTGGTGGCTAATGCTTCTTGCGCCTAGCCCTGCGAAGCCATCGAGGCCAGGACGAGTCTATCTTCATGTTCTCAAGCGCGAGAGCCTTAACACGTTGTCGAATCTGATTCAGGCCAAGTCTTGGGAAGATGCAAAGATGACATCCAATAGCGCTTCTCTAGTCGGCCCGCCCGTTCTCGAGTTTGCGATATACAACAAAGTCCCGAGCAGCAAGAAGCGCACCGACCCAAGGCAGGGAACTATTGATCAGGACCCCGAGTTCATGGCCTTTTTACAATCCTTGACCAATCCCGAGATTGACAAGGACAACGAGAGCAACGAGAACAAGGATGTGGAGGAAACGAAGCCTGAGACGAAGGTCACAACGACACCGTTGATTGAGTTTCTCAAGGAGAAGAAGGCCAACAAGCAAAAAGAGGCTGCCGCCGCTAAGAGCGCTAAGCAGGCTCGGCAGGACTCCAGCACCAAGGGCAAGTCGTCGGCATCAACGGCGGAGGATTCAAAGAAAGGCAAGAAGGACTCTAAGGGAGACAAATCGGCCGATAAACCCAAAGAGACGGTCAAAATCCTCACCAAAAAGGCCACTGCGGACGCTGTTAAGGCCGCAGAAGCTGTCGCCAGCCAGATCACGCAGGCCTCCTCTTCCTCATCTCAAGATCAGCCCAAGAGTAGACGAGCTGGCATTGCGGCTGCTGCCCGCATCTTGCAACGAGACCTTGGCATCAGCCCCGGAAGCGCCCATAGGAGGGCACGACTCGATGCTGCCAAAGCGGAGGCCGATTCCAAGGGAACCTCATCAAAGGAACCAGCGCAACCAGTGGTGGAAGCCCCAGCAGCTGCCCCGCCACCTGTCCCGGCTCCCGCTCCAGCATCCTCAGCCGCTTCACAAACATCTGAGAGAAACGCCACGCCCACGGCACCTAAGTCGGGTCGTTCTAGAAGAGGCGGCGGTGGAAAGAACGCAAGTGCCAACGAATCAAAGGGCAAGTCAACAGAGGCGAGTGGCTCTTCTAGCGCTCCAACACCTTCCAAAGCCCCGGTCATCTTGCTTAAGAAGAAGGACGAGGAGAAGAACAAGGAAAAGGCTACCAAGGCCGAAAAGGAAGCATCGAGTTCGAATGCGCAGGCAGCCGCCGCGCCAGCGAATGCCAAGTCCAATGCGCCTACCGGTCCTAAGGCATCAGGAAAGGGCAGCAACGCGAAGAAGAGCACTGCCGCCGTTACCACTGGCGTGACCCGTGGTTTCGTCAAGCACGCAAACCCATCGCAGGGTGTAACCGAGGCACTCCTCAAGCAAGCCATGGAGGTCTTTGGCACCGTCACTTTTGTGGAAATCGACAAGCGTAAGGGCTTTGCCTACGTCGACTTCTCCGATCATGATGGCCTCGTAAAGGCAGTCGCCGCGAGCCCCATACAGGTTGCCCAGGGTACAGTCCAGGTTCTTGAGCGCAAGGAGAAGAAGCCTGCCGCCTCTAACTCGAACTCGAACGCCAATAACTCCAATAACAGCAACGCAGCCAATACCGCAGCAGCAAGCTCTAGCTCTGCTGCACCATCGACGACCAATGCATCTAACAGCAACGCCACGCCTTCCGAGAAGCCGGAGCACCATAAGCGGACCAGGCGTGGTCGTGGTGGTGGTAAGGCCGCGGCGGCTGGTGCGTCGGGCAGCAACAGCGGCAACAAGGATGCGGCGCGCGAGTCCGCCGCCCCTGCTGCAGGCACGGGATGATCCAAGGGAGGGGACGACGCAAGGCAAAGAATTTTTTGCATTCGTTTTGAAAAGTGATTGTACCTCGCATGGTCGATTCCCACGTGCGAAAGAAGAGCGCGGCATGCGGGTTCGCAGGTGCGGGAAGGGTCAGCAAGTATAGGCAATGGGTGGATGTTATTGCGTACCTGCGCACTACCTGCGTTTCTGCCCAACGGGCCTAATGAGTGAGGGCCACGATGCGATGAAGAGGTACGGAATATGGGCGACGCAACACCCGGTTCGCTGGATGCAGTTGCCCCTCTCCCCGCGCCATCCACAATATCGATTATTCTTTGACGATATCACCCGCCGATACCAGCAGCATTGTGCATTGCAGAGGAGGTGGCGTTGGGTGTGATCTGCGCAAAGGGTTTGGCGGGAGGAAGTAGTTGGTGGTTGGTGGTTGGCTGTCGTAAGCGCACCTTGACCTGGGAGATCGTCACGAGTGCTTGCAGAGTATGAGGATCAAGTAGAGATTATCCTAATAGGACAGAATCGCGAGGTTACGGAGATTCCAGTCTATGATGTGTAAGTCGGGCAACCATGGTCCGATACAAGCTTTCTCACACTCTCTCACTCACATTCCCTCTCAGTCCGCCGCTGGGGTGTCGTGATAGCTTCATAATCGACAATAGATGCACGCCCTCATTGTCAAAACAGCAAACTTTCATTTCACATCTACTACTTCCTATCATTCACCGATTTTAAACCCCAAGCTGAAAACATTCCCAAGACCAAACCATTCCCACCCAAAAATGCCAACCTCAATTAGGCCAAATCCAATTATGCTCCCTCCCCTCCCTCCACCTCGCACCCATCCCACCCACAACACCAGTGACAAAATACACCAAAACAGCAATCAAAACCCCTAGCAAAACACCCCTCGTCTCCCTCGCCGCACGCAGCACCTCCGCCTTGAGATCCGCGACCCAGAGCGTCTCCCCGGCATCCCGCCTAGCAGCCTTCAAGCCGGGTAACCCGTCGATGGAGGTGCGGTTCGTCTCGACCTGGTAGGTATTCACCGTGTTGTTATCGACGCGCTTTTTCCAGTAGTAGTCGAGGGTGGGACGCTCCTCAAAGACGGAGAGTTCGTCCTTCTTCGTCGTCTCCTTGCCGGTATCGAGAATGTCGTGCCGCTGCTGCGTCGCCTTCTCCAGCGTCCCGTCCTCCGTCGCCGTAGCGGGCGCATAGAGCTCCTTCCTCACCATGGGCACACCGTACCCGCAACTCGTCTGCACCTCCCACACCTCGCCGACAACGACGGCCCTAGCACCATCATACGATTCCCTGTTGCCGTTCCCCCCAGCGGTGTCGTCCTGCGGGATGACACGCTTCATCCACTTGTCAAAGTCCGGGTGATCCCACTCCACGATGCGACTCTTGCAAAACAGACGCAGGATACGCGGGGCGGGCCCGAAGGACATGAACATGAGCGTCAGCCGGCCGTTCTCGTAGCTGTGGGCGATGGTCTCGCACCCGGAGCCGGTGCGGTCGATGTAGGCGACCAAGTTGGGCGAGAGGACGGCGAAGTGGGCGGAGAGGCCCTTGGGGGAGACGTTGATGTGGGGGTGGTGGGTTGGGGCCGAAGCCGTGAAGAAGACGGGCTGGCGGGCGGCCCAGTCGGCGAGGTCGGGGTTGAGGGAGGGGTATAGCTTCATCGTGGCGGTGTGGATTTATGTATGTTTTAATGGATACTAATAGTTCATATGGGGGACGATTGTTTGTTTGGTTTTAAAAGATTTTATTTTATATTTGGGATATCGTCAATTGACGTCAATTGATGAAACAATGTGATGACCTCGGATGAAACTCAGGTATATAGATAATGATATATCGTGGAAAACATGAAAGGGTATTGGGTATTGGGTATCGGGTATCGAGTTGCTGACATGAGAGAGCTAGTACAGGATTTGATACATGACTGAGCAATATGGAGGGAAAAAAGAGAAAAGAAAACCAGAAAAACCAAAAACTTTTTGAGGAGGCGGAATTCCGTCTCTTGAAATAAACAATTGGCCTCGGGAAACGGCCAAGTTCGCCGAAGAATGTCATCGAGGATGAGTCAAGCGAACTAATTGCGTCAATCCGGCTGGCGTCTCGACTCTCGAATAAGTCGTTGCGCCCGGACTCGGTGCGGCGGGTGCGGGGGTCCCATCTGTCGCCTCAAAGCGCCCATCCCGTCTTGGAGAAAAGGTGCAGAAAAGAGCGCTTTTCAAACCTCTCGTCTCTCTCTCTCCCCGCACCGCCTTATCGGTTGGAGGCTGCGTTTGCCAGGGATGAAGAATTTCCTGTGGCTGAATGCAGAGTATCGTAAACGTATTTTCCCGCAGCGAAGAAAAAAAAAAACCACCCTTGCCCGCTGGTGGTGTGTCACACAGGGCTTGGCCAATTTTTTTTTGTTGCTTCTTGCTTGCTTGTGTCGGATGCTTTACCGACGCGACCTCCCGCGGGTGGTCTCTGGTAGAGGGTGTGCGTAATAGCTTCCATCCTCAACGTATGGTGAATGGCCATGGCCATATGCACTACCTTCATAGAAGGGACTCTCGTGGTCCGGGTAGCCTGGTGTGCGCTGGTCGTAAGGATCGGCGACAGTTGTGGTTGTGAGGACCGTAGGTCTTATGGCGTACGACGTAGACTCGGAGCGCTTAGTACGGGGACGGGTCGGCTCCACGACGGACACGGGCCGAGGAGCGCTGGGGCCCATGGGCTCAATATAGCTGGCCTGCTTGCTGCCCCTCGAGCTTCCGCTGGAGGTGCTCTTGTCGTCCTTGTGCTCGAAGCGGCGGCCGAGGCGCTCCTTGTCTTCCTTGCAGCGCTTCGCAAGCTCCTTGTCCTCGGTGGGCTTGCGAACCTTGCTCTCCCCGCGGGCGCGGTGCTTGGAGTCGCTGCGACGCAAAGCCTTTGACTCCTTGGGCTCCTTGTGTTCTCTGGGCTCCTTGTATTCTCGGGGCTCCCTGTGCTCTCTGGGCTCCCTATGCTCTCTCTCCTTGTGCTCTCTTGGAGAGGGCGGTTGGCTGGGAAGTGCGCCCGACATCTTTGTCGACTCTCGAGAGGGGCTGTGGCGTTGCGCCTTGCGGAGATCATCCCGTAGAACCTGGTTTTCGGTGCGCAAGTTGTCCTTTTCGCGCTCCCAGGCTTTCTTGTCGATCGTAAGAACTTCAATGGTGTTCTCCAGGGCAGCGTAGCGAGCTTTGGTTTCGCTCTTGAGCCGTGACATATCGTCCAGCAGCTTATTGTACTTCAGTTCAAGGTCGAAGTAGTCCTGGGCGGAAGGGCTCGAGCTGACTACGGAGATGCTAGAGTCGCTCGATTGGTGGCGGTGGCCCTTTGTGGTCTGGAAGGTGACGCGAGCCTCTTTTTTGTTGGCGGTAGACATGGTTGGTGGTTATTGGGCGGCGCTGGGCGGCCGGGGAATTGTCGATCAACGGTAGGGTTTGTGAGTTGACGGTGTGCACCAATGTCCAAGGCAGTGAGCCTTTTCGCCGTAGACAGGCGCGACGAAAGTGAGAGCGAAATATTCGTTGTGAGCGATCTGACTGCGATGTATGAATTTGGAAAGAGAAGAATTGAAATTTTTTGAAATTCAATGTGGGTGGTGTGGTGGTAGGCGCGGGTTAATACTTGTCGTTATGTGTGTGCCTTGTCGAGATGAGTCAAGTCGGGTATATAAGGGGTTGAATGCTGCCCAAGATGGGACCGGGTGTTATTTTGGTCTGGGATAGAGAAAATAATAGCCGCACTCCGAAATGAGCAGGTCAGGTAACAACTGAGGGATGAATAGGGAGGGGGGAGAAAAAGGCAGAAGCGGCGTCTCTTGACATTTTATTTATCCAGATTTGCAAAAGCAGGTATTGCAGCCTTGACGGAGAGGAAAAGTCGCAGCCGGAGGCGGAGGGAGAATGACAGATGGGATTTGGTGTGGGTGACTGGCAGTGGATTGCATTGCTGCCTCCGGAGCTAAGAGAGGCAGACAGCAAAGTTGCGATGCAAAGGGAGAACGAACGAATACCTGACCCCTGCAACCACAACCACAACCGCAACCCGGTACGTAGCCACGCTGCAATACTCAAGGCGCAGACGTATTGACATGTCCATGCCATAGGCATAGGGTACGGGAACGGGTACATTGGTAATAAGGTAGGGTAGGCCTGGCATGTACTGCGTAGGGTACGGAGGAGGGAACTCTTGGACGCTCCGAGGCACAAGGAGATTAGCAACATTCCAAAAGTATTCCTTCGGTAGTGGCCATGTAGGGCTGGAGCTGCTTAGCCCAGTTTGGCTGCCTCTTGGCTGCAGACTTTTGCGACTGCTGCACTTGCGCAGTGTGTGAGTGAGTGCGTGTGTCCGAGGTGAGGTGAGTACCTAGGAAGAGTCATCGCGGGTTCCCAAATCCCCTCACCTCACAGGCTCACTCGCACACCTCAAGCCTTCCATCCTTCCTCCTACTCCGTACCCGCAGTAGTTCGCTAGGCAGGACGGACGGCGGAATCGCGGGTTCACCCTTCGAGCAGGGATGTCATGACGGGAGGGACTGGGACTGGGCTGTGGTGCCGTACAAGGGGACGAAAGGGGGGAACACGGACAGGGGTGTTTGGACAAGAAGAGTGTGTAGATGGGAACGGGGACGGGAGAAAGAGGGGAGCGGGACTCGGGAAGAGACTCGACGGTGACAGTGACAGTGACAATCCAGTGGTGACAGTCAGGGAGAGAGAGAGAGGTGTGAGTGAGTCCGTCCGGTACCTAGCCTAAGGCAGGTGAAGCCAGAAAGCAAAGTGGAAAAAGAGGTTGACTAGGAATCAACTCCCATTTCTGCTGACTGTTCCCAAGATGGTCCCCTTGAGCCAACCACAGCCCACCTCAGTCCAAGCCTGTGTGGTACCTTAGACAGAGTCTGACAGACGGAAAGAAAAAGGGGGGCATTGCTCAAGTTCAGTTGACCAAATTTCTCGGTGGCAGCCGTTGCTCTCATTGGCGTACTTTTGGCAGATGGGCGGTGCAGGTGCCAGCAGGGCCAGCAAGCCAACAAGGCAGAAATGCACTTTTCCCCCCGTTGCCTCGTTTTGCTGGATTTTCTTGTGGGACGCCTTATTTTCCCCGTGTGTCTGTCGTTTTGTGTGTGCCAATGTGTCTCCGGAATGGTTCGCAAATGCGGCCTGCCACGCCAGCGTACCCGGGAGATTGGTTCGCCCAACCCACGTCTCACTCAGTCTCTCTCTCTCTCCCTTCCCCGAGGCAGGCTGCGCTGCCGCTGCGCTGTCCATACAGCGTTTGGCCTCCCGCATCTTGCTTTTGCAGCACCGGAGTCCAGTGGGACCAAGCCTCAAGGGCAGAGGGCGAAGCTCTCATTTGCGTGCGTCGCTAGTCGAATCCAGTCGCAGCACCGTAAGGTGAGGTGAGGTCAGGACGCAGCTGGCAGCGCGCAGCAGAACGCAGTCCAGAGTCCTCACGACTGAGGCCTCAAGTGAGGGGCCTGCCGCAGACGGAGCCCCTCCGCCGCCAGAGAGCATCGCCGTTGCGCACAACAAAACATGAGGACGTCAACGGGTCAACGGTCAACGGGTTTCCTCTTGGCGCTGTGCGGTCCTTTCCTGCGGGCCCTTTCTGCGTCTGCGTCTGCGTCTGCATCTGCGTTTTGCGTTCTGCGCCGATGTATGCCTGCGCCTCCGAACCTGTTTCTTTGTTCCCTCGTCCGATCCCCAGGATCATGATGTGCGTATCTCGTTTTTCATTCCTAACCTCGCGGCCAATAGCTTTGCCATGATCGTGGGAGCAAAGTGATCGTCGTGCGTAGACTACTGTGAGGCCATCGCGAAGACCCCACCCCACCTTGCAGACGGAGGGAAGGTAAGGTCATGGGGGAGGAGGGACTCGGAACGCAGGAGTCGAAAGTCGCGTCGTGAGTCACCCCGCGTCAGGACGCGATTCATTCGTAACCTTGGTGATGATTGTTTGGTGACTGAGGCCAACGTATTCCTTTCATGGGCTCGATGTATGTAGTAGGAAATGGCCAGCAATTGTGTGCTTCTTTTCGCACATTTTTCCTCCGATGATCGATCTTGATCATTCGAGGGCACCAATAGACGACCTGACCATGGATCGATCAATTGCGATACGATGAGCCGTTCGCTGATGGACAGGAACGTTGCGAGCCGTACCTCCTTGCCATGAGGTGGTGATCAGGCTGTAGGCAGATGGTGGTGGAGGTGGTGGTGGTGTTGAGTGACGGGATGATGAAATGAGGTCCAGTGGGGAAAGCTGCTGCGGTTTGTGGAAGCCGAAGTAACTAGGTACCTAGGTACTGCGCACACAGTAAAGCACAGACGAACGGAACACCGCCCCACGGGCTAACCAACGGAAGGTAGCCCAGAGGGGAGGCAGGGCAGGCAGTCCCCTGCCAAACACAATCTTGACAGCCCAGCATCGGACGACGACCAATGAAGCTTAATTGTTTGATGCTCTCCTCTAAAAAGACCTGCTAATTGCTGACATCCTCGGTCCCTCAGGGCAATGTACCTCGGGTACCTCTCTGTCTACGGAGTATGATAGGTACGTAGCATAAGGTATGGTAAAGTACTCCGCGTTCAGGACTCCCACGGGTACGTACACTATACTACCTTACCTTAGACCCCAGGCGCCAGCCGTCTAGAACCCGGCCGCCATCCTGTCTTGGCAGAAGGTGGAAGAAGCCGGACGCTGCTGATATCCAGAGGCTAGACCTGTCCGTATCCGTAGGCAGAAATCACCAACCTTAGTCTCAGTCTCCAGTTATAGGGCTGGGAGACACGATATTGCTAAGCCTAAGGTGGGTTGGCCAGATCACGACACAACCCCCCACACCCCTCAAAAGCGTACAACAGGTTTCAGTCAAAGACTCGAAGGATGCAGAATGCATATTTTCAAAGAGCATGTGGCGTACTTTTTACACTTTCCCACGAACTGAATCTACTAGCTTCGACGGGATAGGCAGGTACCCCTTATCAACCATCTCGAGATGTTCCCAGATGGCGATATCGTTCGCTTGGCGGCAAGGCAACTCTTGGCCTTTTTTTGTCTTTCCGAAGCAGGGCTGGATCGGGATGAAGCACGTATGAACCGTACGGTCATACTGAACGCCAACTACATCACTGAAACGACAGCTTTGTAAGCGCGCGCAAAAAGTCACAGGAAAAAGCTTTCCCGCCCAATAGAGCTTCCGCACCTCCCCATGGCAACGGGCTCAGACAACGGGCCGCCGGCCTTGACTGAAGAGTATCCCCGAGTTCGCCGACTACGTGTCTCTAGCGTAGGATTCCTTCCTTCCGTTCATGCTAGATAGTCACCTGCTTGTGCCTCGTACCTCGTTCACGTTCAGACGCGGGATATCCAGGGCGCATATGTGCTCTTTGAACGAAAGAGAAAAAAAAGAATGCATTGCGTGGTCTGCCAAGGCATGTCGATCCTCTTTTGAGTCCCTCTAAGTGCCAACAAGACATTCTCACTACTCGGGTTGGATCCGGTCCAATCCACTTCCCCCCACCCCGCGTGTAACTCGGCTTTCGGGGGGGATATCGGGCATGCATAGGCACGATGCGTTGGTTTGTTCTGCAGCAAGAAATTTTCAAATCATCTCCGAAAAGTACGATTTGACAGCTTGATCGACATATGAATCGATGGTATTTGGGTTTACGAATCTCGCCTGGAGGGATGTATGCTTGGTACTTTTATCACTTTGCCTCGGGCAGGCTGAGAATTCTTGCGGCATTCTTGCCGCTCTAATCAAGGTGCACTTTCCCGCTTGGAGTGGTTATCAGCATCGAGATGTTGACCTGAAACGATGAACGGCATCCGCGTCATCGTGTCCTTCGAGGTTGAAGGCGTATCCGGCCTTGTGTGATCTTCTCACTCCGTATGACGATGAACAATTCCTTAGGCCAAGGAAGTTGACCTGATACCTTACGAAAAGCTATGAAAAACCAATGAGAGAGTTTACTGACACAGGAACAGGGTCATCCTCCTTCATGCCTGTATGCCAATGTACCTTGTCGAAGCCCGTTATACTGAAGCGTCTCATACCTATTATCATCGAAGCAGACATTATCAATCATTCGTTGGCACAGTAGGGGAAGCATCACGGCAATAATGGGAATTACGAACCAACAGCACAACACTCGCCAAGTACTTCTGTAGATATTGGAATTTCCAATCCGCTTTGGAACTCCATGGAAGTGGAGGGGCAGGGAAGACGGAAGAAAGGAAAGGTGTAAGTTGATTTGTCGACGACGGAAGAGTGGGGTAGGTACTGGGTAGACGGACGGGACAGGCCTGGCCCACTGCCTGGGGAACCCTTGACGGTACGTACTTGGTGTACCCACTTGAACGTTTCCCATCTGCCAGCGACTGAACGGTGGGGGAGATGGCTGCCTGTTTTTGCCTTCGTCACGCTTCCAGCTTCATCCGTCTTCGGACGTCGATATTATCGTCCGTCAGCTTCAAGGTATCTGCCACCTCGGTTCTCAGCGGCTGGTGATACTACCTGTGTCGAATGTCATCGAATGAGAGATCGTGTCTAGCAATAGCATTCCCCCCTCGGTTGTCCGTCGTTGACATGGGAGGTAAGCGGGAGGGAGCCCAGCTGAACGTCTGCTTTTCAAATTACCTCCCAGGAACAAAGACAATACAAACCTAGAGGAACGTGTGGAAGAGTTTGATTTCCTCAGCCGCAGAAGCATGTTTTGGGTGCTTATCTCACTCACCCTCTCTCCCATCCCTGCCGTATCTGTGCCTCGCGGATACACTCCCTATTCTGGCTCTTCGCGCGCTTGCTGGAGCGAGAGACGAGCGTGAGCAGGTCATTTGTTGGACTCCACGGTTCCGACTAACGGCTGCGGCTGCGGCTGAAAGCCCCAAGGATGATGACCGTGTCCCGCTCACCTCGGTGTCAGCACTCTAGCGACAAGGTGAGAAGGCACAAGGCATCCGCTACCGCTCCGACCTTGGGCACGTAAGTTGTGAACTGGAAGACGCAACCCCGAATACACTCCATCAAGATAAGGTATCGATTATCTTCCGTAATCTTGCTATTCTCCCTCCCTTCCAGGAAGCATTACTGAGCCGGAGGAACAATCTGTCGATTGAAAGAAAGAAAAAGGTGGCTCAGGTGAGGCCAACAACATGGATTCCGATCCTGCGGCCGTGGCCCCGTTGAAGACGCGCATACCTGCTTGCGCGCAACACTTCTTTTTGCGCAATCGCGCGCTCGCGCGCTGTCCACGGCTTGTGTAACGCCAGTCTCTCCCACCCGGTGCCAAGACGATGGCTGCAGCCTTATGCTGCACACCATTACGTCTGATTTGACGTGGCCATGGGGGTTAAAACGGAATCGGCACAGCGACGGAGTACACGAAACGAAGAACCCTTGCATTTTTTGACAGAAACTGTTCGTATCCCCCAGAATGGCATCCCGGGCTGTTGGCTTTCGAGCTGTGTACATGGCTAGGTACACCGGGCTGTGGTGGGAAGTGTGTGTACCAAAATTGGAGATACGGAGTTTTGGAGAAGGACGAAAAGAACGGGATGGCGTCATGAGGTCTGGCCCGACCAGTGTCTCGGTTCGGAGACAGCTGACTTGGAGACCCGGTGCCGACGCTTCGTCTCACCCCTCTGCTGACAGCCACCACCGCACAATGAGATTGTTTGTAAGTAAGGGTCTAATCTTCTGGCCTTGACAATTTGTATGAAGGCACAAAGTGGATGTCATGTAGTATGAATAATGGTATCATTTGAATATTTCTGCCACTCAACCTGTCGAAGTAATGATGCGAGCCTTTTGGTCCCATGCGCCGATACACAGAAAGACAAAACTTTGATGAGAGCCTCGATCATTCTCAACAAAGTAAAGAATCAGTTTCAAATTGTTGCGTTCAAGCGCGAGAAACAGGATGACCTTTGGAAGCAAGGTATCGGACATAATGTCGCTTGGGAACTCGATAAAAGGCTTGGGGGATGGTTGCGTGATACAGCTAATACGAGTATAACTACCAACATGAAATGCAACGATGAGTGAGAACCTCTCCATCAGTTCATCCCGCGTTCAAAAAGAGTTCCCTTGATAAACAGTTCCCAAGCTCAAAGTCATGTAAAGACGCCAGAGTTCATTATTGACAAATGAAATATGTTGTGAGCGAAGGTCGGAGCTACGATGCTTCAAGAAAGGCGTACCCAATGATCGTCACGCAGTGCCTTGCATGACGGAGTATCCAATGAAGCATCGTCAGCAAAAGTCTATCTCAGATCGAAACCAATGAAAATGATGCCCTGCAATTTCTGACGAGAGCCTATGCCGATCCGAATGTCAGTTCTCATATCCAAGGCATGATACTCAAAGAGTAAAAGAGACGGAGAGAGAAACTCACACTAAGGCTTCCTCATGGAATATCATCCAGCCAAACGGGTTCCCTCCTAACCAAAGAAAGAGACTCTCTCAAGCAGCCGTCGAAGACACTTATCCTCAACCGCGCCGAAAGTCCACATCTCGTAGAGAGATACATGAAAGTAAAACAAAGAGAAAAACGTATATCGCTCACATCCATCCATTACCCCCCTCATTCATACCGTATAAACCCATGCCTCCTCAAAATCCTCTCATACTCCCTAATCCTCTCATCCTGTCCCGCAACAACACACCGCTGCTCGTGCAACTCCCTCCTCAACCGCCGATTCTGCTCCTCCACGCCATCATACTTCCCCTCCCACGCGCGCACAATCCTCCTCAGCTCCTCAATCCTCTCCGCCACCCCGTGGCCCAACCCGTGTCCAAAGTGATGGTGGTGGTGCGGACCATGCCTCAACCGCGCCGCCAGCTCTCTCTCGACCTTTTGCAGCTTATGCCTCAACCGCTCCACCTCCTGCAGGTACTTGCCCGCGTTCCCGCCCGAGCTCTCGATCGTCCGCCGCAGGCCGGCGTTGTCCTCGCGCAGGAGCTGGTTCTCCGCCTGCGCGGAGATGAGCAGGGCCGAGAGGCGGCGGCCTTCGACGTCCGAGGCCTGGAGGTCGCATTTCAGGGTGTAGTTTTCGCGGGCGAGGGCGTCGTTTGCTTCGCGGAGCTTGCGCTCGCGGTCTAGGAGGTCGTTGTACTCGGGCGCGGCGATGTGTGCGCAGTCGTCGCGGCAGCAGTGGTGGACTGGTGGAGGTGGAGGTGGAGGTGCCGGGGTCGGAGCTGGGCAGGGGGCCGGAGCCGGAGCTGGCTCTTCATGGTGGTGATGATGGCGGTGGTGATGGTGGGAGCGGGAGCGTTTGAGGGAGACGAATTGGTATTTGCCGTCTGGGGAGGTTTCGAGGTACCACCGGCGGGTGGCCATGCGGTCTGGAGGGGGTTGTGGTCGTGGACTAGGTGGTATGTGATGTGTTTCTCGAGATGTTTGGCGAGAGGGAGGAGACTGGAGGTGGTGGCGGTTGTCGTCCGTATAAATCCAAAGGTTTGCTGTGAGGCTGTCTAAGTTTAAAGTTGAACTGAGAGGTTTCGCAGGAACAGTATTCAGAGTTTTCGGTTCAGGATATTGGACGAAGACGAGAGAAGGCCGGAAACCGACAAGAGTTCAACAAGGGGCGGATCGAGGCCTTGATATGGAGATCTACGGGATGAAAGACAGCAGACCACGAGAGCCCCGGGGTCCGATATGCAGGTGATCAGCGCAGAAGACTACCCCGTCTCTCAATACCAACGAGCACAGGTAAGACGGGGTGCTTGCTGCATGGCGGAGCGGGAGCGGGTAGGGCTTCGTCTTGACTTTGCTCTAGGTATCCTAACCTATTCTACCTTGTTTGATAGGATGCCTCCCCTTTCCGGAGAGGGTGTTTACTGTGTAAGTGTGCCATGGCATAAGGAGGAACTTGGGGTCCCAGAGCTCTGGGTTCGTTCGTCACTAGACTGGAATCTCGCCGTCTTTCGTACATTTCACTAGGAAAAAGTAGGCGCAGGAACGGCTGCGAGTCATCATCGGAGGAGGCAACAGGGCACGAGGCTCAAGCGCGTGGGCGGGAGAAGGGATGGGCGCCGACTCGGTGGCTGACGCGCTGCCGTTGGAGGGTGCGGCAGCACGGTGAAGAAACTGGTACGAACTGGACCCTTTGACGGGTAGCAAACAATGCAGATAGACTATGTTCGTGCTTTAGCTATAGATGGACACCTTGTGTTTTCTTCTTTCTCTTGGTTGTTCATACTAAGGCAAGGTACCCTGCAAGGCAGATGGTGGGTGGAGCCGGGGGAAGAGGTCGGGTGTGGTGTACAAAGTTGAGGCGCCCCTCCGACACAGTTGAAGAGGATTTAGGTTGTCGGGTGCCCGTTTGGCTGACCTAGGTGTGAGTCCGAAGGCGAGGTCATGTAGACGGCCTCACAAGTTGTGCGCGGTGAGACTTGGGTGGTCGTTTGTGGTGAGCGCATGAGTGGCATGTCTCACGCGCCAGAAGGGGGGGGTTGGAGGGGTCATTCGGGGCCAGCTCCGGGGGGGCTGAGCTTTGAACCTGGCGGCGGTTCATCCCGGGGTGGTTTGCTTGCGGGCCTCGCGGGATTAGCTGTTTAGTCAGAGGTCAGGTTTGGTCTAGGCTGCTTGTAGGCTGCATGAAACGGAAAAAGGGCACAGAATGAGGAGAGCACGACGGCGCGGTTGATTCTTTGTGGTCTAGATGTTTGGTCCTTGAAGATGTCAAAGTTGGAGGTGTGACAGTGGACAGTTGGGGTGGGAATTGGAGATCTCAAGGGTACCTTACCTTACCTTAGGTACGTACTGCGTAGGTACGTTTTGACACGTGGAGCAGGCGCATTGCGGTAAGCAAGCGCCGCCATCGGAGAATACAGTGCTCAAAACCGCCTTTCCACCATTAAATTCCAGTCACAACACCGTACAGCCCTTGCTGTTCACCGCGGCTGCGCTTGGGTTGCCTCTCCACATCCCGGTACGTATCTATTCTTCATGACCACCACCACGAAACAACATTCTTTGACAACGGCCCTTTTGTCTTGCACGGCCGAGTACACCGCCTCCGCGAGGCTGCCATATTGGAAGTCGCAAGTTTGGTCAGGCACCTTCGGATTAGGATTGGGATTATACACTTTGATCTTGGTTGGCTGGCTACCTGGATGACTTGCCCGTCTTCCAGTCATGCCATGTCTCAAAAGAACTGGTAAGGATGCTATTCCTGTAACCTTGGACATGTCTCCAAGTCAGGTGCAATTGTTTACCGAGTGAGGCAGCCAAATGAGTTCAATCTATTCTGTCACTACATGCTTCGTTCCCTTGCTTCTCTGTGCCGGCGCCTCTCTGTACTGAGTCTTGTTGCCTGGTGCTGAGAACTCGCTATTCTGCAGCCTTGTTAGCGGTGGCGAATATACCATGACAAGGTCTGATATCTTGAGGTCATGAATGTCTGGCATCATCTTTCTTAGCCTCTCAAATGGGATGACACCAAATTGGCTCCAGGAGGCGGAGCGAACATGTGGCCACTGCTCACTTCCCAAGCATTTCCGGCAGGCAGGGTTGGGTTTGACGATGTTATCAGCCCACCTCGGCCACTCAAGGCATGATTTTTCCAGCGCATGTAACAGGGGTTTTTTCCCCCTTTCAAGCGGAGATGCCCTTGGGTAAAGGAATGATTCATCACCGTCAGGCCGTTGGTGGCCTCTTTCGTTCTCGTAAATCAGGAAGTAGACAGGACATCAATATTTCTCGGTCACGGACAAGCGATAACCAACTTTCAAGCGCTGCTGTAAATGGTTTGATTCACTGCTTCACTGCCTCGCTGGAAGGAAAATGAGGAGAACGTCTGTGAGCAGATCCCAGAGACTCGCCATATCCCGATTACACGACGCAGACACTACCTCTATATACCAAATATGCTATCAATCTCCATAACCAGCAGCCCCCATCCCATCAACTCTTGAGATCCTCTAACCTGGAAACACGTGAAGCCACAATATTTACACATTTACCTTACTCGGAAGAAGAAGTCTTTTCTGCATAAGGCTCATGGATGGAAAATAATTCTCCAACACTTCACGTCTTCTCATACACCACAAGATAACCAAATTCCCAAACTCAATCTTATTCAAGAGCTGGGTAGATAGATAATCCATACATGTAAGTTCCACTGTTCAAACGAGCGTCGAGAATAGAAAGTAATCAGGTTTCATCCGCAGGAAACCTACAGGAATCTTGAGAAACCTCTTTCCTGGGGAAGGCCATCCACGGAGCCGTTCTACTTCTTCCCAGCCTGCTGTCCCCCCTGACCAGCACCAGCAACAGCACCAGCACCGCCCTGTCCCTGCCCACCGACCCCGGCATTGGCGTTTCTGTCGCCCGCGCCCTGGGCCCTGGCAGCGAAGCCGCCCGAGGACATGTCTTTGCCGCCCTTGTCCTAGATTAGAACATCGTTGAATGTTAATATCAGTAGACCAGATTCTTCCTGAGTCTCGTCCAGCCCGCCTCAACCCTTTGATCAATTCAAAGAGTGGGATAGAGACCAAAGGGGAAGGGAGGGGAAAGGGGGCAGTGACGAACCTGGCTGGACTGGATGCGGGAGGCATCGTCTTTGGTCATCTGGTCAGGCATGATGACGGGTATTTGGGGTTGTCCGAAAGTTAAAAGGTTTCTTGAGTTGATGGAATGGTTGAGGAGAGTGTGAAGACGAGGTGTGCGATATCTGGATGATCTATCAAGAAACGACCTGCCTACCGAGACGACAGACGACAGCTCCTTATAGACTTTTTCATCCCCCTATCCTCATCACATGAAATCCGACATGTCTCTCAAGTACACAACACAAAACCTCATCGCCATCCCGTCATCACCGCCATCTCTGTCACCGCTTCATCCCAAACCCACATCTCAACACAAACGCGAACAAGAAAGAAACGAATCCAACGTCGTCCAGCAATCATCTACCGAGCGAAAAGCTCTCAAACCAACCGCCCGACTCTGGTGACAATCCCCCCCCGCTCCGGCGAGACATCGGTGGAGGGCCTCCGGCGCCTCAACGAAACGCCCCGCCACGCCCGTTCCGCAAATCCGTTTGGCTAATTACCAGCTAAAAACTCAAGCCTCCCAACGAGCATTTGACATCACACAAAACAAGGTTGACACGGCGCGGAGAAGGTGTGTGTGGGATCAAAATGGACGGTCACATTCACGGCATTCATATGGGACAGAGAAGTTTGATTGTTTTTGTGTTATTGGTATCATTCAACGTGATATTTGAAACGAGAAAAAAAGAGTTACATCAAGGTCATGTACACATTTGCGCCGGAATAAGCCCCAGTTTTCATTACCTTTCCAACCAAGCCTATCCACCGCTTTAGAACAACGCTCCGCCCAGACGGATCGCGACGGACTTGTTCTGGGTGTAATTTGCGAGAGCAGCCTCGCCGAGCTCTCTGCCGATACCGGACTCCTTGAAGCCGCCAAAGGGCACCTGGTAGGAGAGCATGTTGTAGCAGTTGACCCAGACGGTGCCGGCCTTGATGGCGTTGCTGACGCGGATGGCGGTGTTGAGGTCGGTGGTGTGGACGGCGGCGGCGAGGCCGTAGGTGGTGTCGTTTCCGAGCTTGATGACCTCCTCCTCGTCCTTGAACTTGGCGATGGCGCAGACGGGGCCGAAGATCTCCTCCTGCATGATCTTCATGTCCGGGCGGACGTTGCTGAAGATGGTGGGCTGGATGAAGTAGCCCTTGTCGCCGTGGCGCTCGCCGCCCGTCTCGACGGTGGCGCCCTCGTCCTTGCCGGCCTTGATGTAGCCCATGATGCGGTCGAACTGCAGCTGGGAGACCTGGGGGCCCTGGAAGGTCTCGGGGTGGAAGGGGTCGCCGACCTTGTTCTGCTCGGCGCGGGCCTTGAAGGCGGCGAGGAACTTGTCGTAGATGCCCTCCTGGACGAAGATGCGGGTGCCGGCGCAGCAGCACTGGCCGTGGTTGTAGTAGATGCCAAAGTTGACCCAGGAGATGGCCTGCTCGATGTCGGCGTCGTTGAAGACGATGTTGGGGGACTTTCCGCCGAGCTCGAGGGTGACCTTCTTGAGGTTGGAGCTGGCGGCGGCCTTCATGATCTGGCGGCCGACGAGGGTGGAGCCGGTGAAGGCGATCTTGTCGACGTCCATGTGGGCGGAGAGGGCGGCGCCGGCGATCTTGCCGAAGCCGTTGATGAGGTTGAAGACACCGGGGGGGAAGCCGGCCTCCTTGATGAACTGGGCGAAGACGAGGGCGGACAGGGGAGTCTGCTCGGCGGTCTTCATGACGATGGTGTTACCCGTCGCCAGGGCGGGGGCGATCTTCCAGGAGAGCATGAGGAGGGGGAAGTTCCAGGGGATGACCTGGGCGCAGACACCGATCTTGGGAGAAATTGTTAGCTGGCGTTTTCTGAATTATACAAAAAATGACAGTGACTTACAGGCTCAGAGCGGGTGTAGTGGAACATATCGTGGGCAACGTCAATGGTCTTGCCCTCGATCTTGTCGGCCCAGCCTCCGTAGTATCTCAAGCAGCCGACGACGGCACCAACATCGCCCTTGGCCATGGAGATGGACTTTCCGTTGTCGAGAGACTCGACGGCGGCCAGGAGGTCGGTGTTCTTCTCGGCAATATCGGCGAGCTTGTTCAGGAGGTAACCACGCTGGCTGGGGGGAACCTTTCTCCACTCGCCCTCAAAGGCCTTGCGGGCGGCGGCGACGGCGATGTCGACATCCTTCTCGGTGGCCTCGTGGACGGAGGTGATGACCTCCTCGGTGGAGGGGTTGATGACCTCGAAAGTCTGCTTGTCAACACCCTCAACCCACTCGTTGTTGATGAACCTAAAGGAGCACAATATGTTAGATTTGGTGATTTCGAGGTCGTCATTGCTCGCCGGGTAAGCGGCGGCGGGATGAGGATTGAGGGGTAGAGAATACGCACAGTCCAGTAGGTTGGGTGTAGGCGCCCGTCACCGGGGTCTTGAGCTCAACGGACAAACCCATTGTGTGTGATTTTTGTATAAAACAAGTGCGAAACGTGGAGGGGTATTTGGTATCACGGAAGAAAGAAGAAAAAGTTTGGATTGGGATGGGATTGTGAGTTGAGAGTAGTGAGAAGTGAGAGGGGGAGGGAGAGAAACTGGAGAGAAGAAGCTGGGGATCACAGACTGTATATAAAGCGGGGTCGGGGGGGGGCACAGAGCAGCAGGAGCAGAGCAGAGCAGAGCTGGGGGAGAGAAGTCCGAAAGTGATACGGTATACCGCGCGGCGCAAAGGCAGTGGAGGGGACGAAATGTCAGAGACCTGGAGACTGGTCAAGGAGGCGAAGGCGATACCTTGCTCGACGGCGGTGGGGCCCGGGGGCGTAGGAGGGTGTACGGATGGAGGGGAAGACTCCAGACTCAGAGTAGGGTACTGCGTAAGGATGAGGGGAAGGGGAGTAGTCTGGAGTGTCTGCAAGATAGTAACCCAACACTAAAACCGAGGCCTGGTCTATCCGTACTTGGTACCGGAACCGCAGATTGGATGGGCATTGGATGAAAGGGAACGTGAGAGAACCCCCATGGGCCGGAGCAACGTCAAACACGGTCATTCGGTGGACTGGACTGGACTTGAGATCTCCACACTGGGGAGCCAGACACGCATCTGCATGCTGTCAATGGACGGGGGTGGACTCCCATACAGTAATCGATTTGTTAGTGTTGGAGGGGAGAAGGAGAAGGGGAGAAATGGAGGGGCAGCAACTTGCAAGGGATGGATGCAAAGATGGGGCCTCGAGCTAAGGTAAACGGGGAAAGGTGGGCGCCGCTTCGGGCCAACGCCTGGCTTTCCTTTTCTTTCCTACCCTTTGCTTTCCTTCGTTCCCTTTACGCCGGGCGAGCAATACGCTATCCACCGGTGCGTTGCTGTGCTGTGCTGGCTGACAGCAGGTCTTCACTAGGAATCAGATAGATCGAGACTACCACTAGGTGATGCCTGTTTGACTCGGCCCAAGTTTACCAGAATGTCACCCAGGGGTGTGTGTCACTGTGGGTTCCGTTCGGTGGGAATTGAGTTCCGCGTTCCCATTCCCCGGGGCCCCAGGTTAGGAAGAAGAATCGCGAAGCTGTCGTGGTGATATTGGACTAGATGGCTCTGAGGTAAGTTGTGCTCGGCCATGTGTCTGTTGCCATCTTTTGATTTCTCTCTTCTTGCTTCTGTACTGTAAATACCTTATCTAAGGTACCATACTTTGATTGCTCTTGTTCTTGAGATGAATATGAAAGGTCCAGTCTACGCAGTAAGGACTGTAAGGTACATACGAGCGACCCCTCTCTCCGCTTCCCCTCTCTTGCAGTTTGTCGACCCCGCATTTTCTCCATCACAAGTTGCGTCTTCCATTGGACACCCAACCAATCAGCACATTTCAAATTGCTGGTCTTGTCTTGATGCAGCAGCCACACCCGCTTCAAAGCGCTCCATCACACACACCAAACATCCTCTCTTTCGTCTCTCTACTGATGATTATCCCCCAGCTATTGAATCTGGCCGAGGGTCCTGCTTAGGATACTATGACAAATGGCATCACCTAGGGAATAGACGGGCTCTGCTCTGCGCTGCTACCCTTGCCGATCCCTGCCAACTACCGGGCTACAGTGCAACTATGCTACTGTATGTAGCTGAGCAGCTATCAAACACATCGGAATTCGAGCTCGGGACCAACGTGTTGTAGCCATAGCACGCTTAGAAATGCCGAATCAAAAAAGTCTAACTGCTATTATAACCCCATAGCACGCTTAGAAATGCCGAATCAAAAAAGTCTAACTGCTATTATAACCCCGGATTCTTTCGGCATTAAGCCATCCTGCAAGAGATGATCAGACGATGAACTATTGAATGCCCGTTGCATTGTTTGCTCCCAGTTGTACTCCATACATAGTATGTAAGCTCTGGATGGATGGGCGGAAGTTCGCCGGCGCGTGTTTTCAGATGCTTTCCGAGCGGATTGATTGCCCTGCAGTCAGCAAACTCGAACTACACCCCCAACATACTGTGATACCCAAACCATTCCGTGATAATCGAGTCAGAATGACGGTCCCGTTCCAGCCCGGCATACGCAGTATGGGATAAGTAGTATGGGACGAAACACTGTTCCTCACACTTCGACTTGGTCGTTGGGTGTGCCCCAGAACTTCCGCCTGGCACCTTTCCCCTCCACCCCACCTTTCCATTCCCACCTTGACGACACACGCACGCGTTCTCTACAGACGTACCGCCGTGCCTTACGTCGACTCGGTGGCTGGCCGTGAAATGTTGGGGCCCCGGGTCCCCGACCTGCCACCTTGAAGGTTACCAGTAAGATTGAGATTACCTTTTTTCTTTGGACTTCTCCATACCCGGGCTCTGCACACTCTGGAGTCTGGATACTGGGGCGCGGACACGGGATACCTAACGCCCCCCCGACCCACCACCCATGTACATACATCTCCAAGTTTTTTTTCACGGTGTCTTGGCTCGATCATCCGCGGCATCTTAACTCCTACACCTCTAAGGGGGAGCAGGGTAGCTCCGTCGTGCGGCGTTAAGCAACGACATTAGGTGTAGAGATAACGGGGTTCGAAATACTAAACGTTTGCTCGGGAGAAGACTACGGTACTTAATTACCACGAGCTTTCGAGTTTTCGAGGTTTGAAACTCCTCTCTCTCGGGGTGTCTTTACTGCCCATTCCCCGGGCCTCACTCCTCGGTGCAAATGCCAGCGAACCATTCAGCTCAGAGATCCCCCGCACCGAAGAAACCCAAAAGGTGGATATAAAATTATTAGCTAAGCCCGCAAAAGGGTATTAGGACAGTGGGATGGCAATTCACGGCGTTTGCAGAGTGATATAT